ATATAATTTCAGAGATCTTCGAATTCTAGAACATAAACCAACATATAAACCCAACCAAAACATTTTCTATGTGCAGTAGAAGATCACAGCCCATAAAAGAGATATGTCGTCCAACAGTACAGTTTACTGCAACCCGACCGCCTGATACTACTATCAAAGGCTGTTTAGAAATGAAGGAATTCAGTTTGAAATCACATAATTATTAATGGTAGGTTAGACTGACCTGAAATTTCGGATTCCCATCCTGAGATAGTGTATGGGCTAGCTTACGAGTCTGCTCCATTGCAGCTATATTTTGCATATCCATACTTCTCATTTGGTTTGACATCAATTGAGATTGACCCTTTAAAAAATTAAGGAAAATAAAAAAGATGAGGCACTAAATATTTTCAGAAAAACATAAATTATCAGAGAGCCAAGTTGTTGGCAAATCAAATGCGAGTCAAACACTGATGACTGATACAGCATAAAAAAAGTCACAACAGATTCAGGCTTTTGAGCAACTATGCCCTAGGGACTATCTGAATCAAAGCCTAAACTCTACCAAAATAAATGCCTTAGATATTTCTATGATACTCACTGAAAGCTTATCAAACATATGTTTGGCATGGACAATCAAAGAGACGTTTCAAAAAAGTACTTAAGGAAATTTTTTCCATCATATAGCTGTTTATGCTAGAAACTACCTGCTCAAACTCAGTGGCCCACCCATTCACACCATGTTGTTGCTCAAAAGACTGGACCCATGAATCAGGACCACCGTGATCCATCCCATGTTGGTTAAATTCAGCCGCCCAATTGTCAGCAGGATGTAAATTAGGTTTCACAATAGCTTGAGACTCATTCCAGTAATCATCTAGCTCCCGAAATCTCCCGGGAACATGACCTCGAGCTTGTATCCCATCGTCGATATCTAAAGATGATAATAGTGCGTTTACCTTGAAAAAAAACGTAGAACAAATATTCAGCCAATGACATGGAGAAGAGAAGCAGCAAACACACATTAAAGGAGAAGAAAAAAGGCTTAGGCCAGCGACAACGTAAAAAGGCTTAACGAGACTGCACAGCTGGCATGGTTACCAAGTAAAACAACAGCAATAATTCCCAAACAAAAGCCCTGACCCACAGATGATTGTAATATATATGATAGTGACAGTGCTACCTCGTTGCCATTCCAAAATGTTACATTTTGATGTACATGAGGAGAGAATGGACCGGAACATTATTGTTCTTACACTTCGTTATATAATTGAATAGATCTTTATTTCAAAAGGGCGATGGGAATTAATGATATAACACCAAATATTAAGCATATATACTCGACCCTTAAAACCTAAGTTGAAGGAATATAACACAATGATGCAGCTATGGAAAACTATCAGATAAACAGCAAACCTGAGAATTGATAAATTCCTCTCCCCTATCAGCAAAAAAATGCCGGGCCATTATGCTACTACGATCACGTATACATTGTTTGTCACTTTGCGACAATCCCAGAACTGGAACAGGTGCTGGACGAAATGGAATACCACCACGGCTACTCTCAACAAATGAATGCAGAAAGTTTGATAAAACTCTCTGTGGGGGTCCTGCAATATATAAGCAAAGTAAAAAACAAATCAAGCAAGCACAAGAGAAGGCCTCGCTCGAGATTAGGCTATATAACTAAGATAGAGCTATGAATATTCAACGCGCCATCCGGGAGAAATAAGAGTGCATGGAGAAGACGTTGCTTTAAAAATGACCACACTATTTATTTCATGTCGCTATACTAAATTACTAACACACACTTTCACTGTTAGCTTCTCTTCCTACGAAAACAATGTTATGTACTTCCCGATTGAAGATGAATGGGTGAAAAAGATACCACCATTTATTCAATATCAAAACCACAATATCTATCTGTTTTGTATCTGGCATTAAATAAAAGTGGTAGAGATCAAATCACAAACCTTCAAATGTAGGCTGAACTGGCTCATACATAGGTCCCATTGGAGGCATAGGTCCACCTTGATGTACCTCATCCCAAGCCGCACCCAGACCATTCTGATCTACAGAGCGAAAACCACGGAAGAACTCTGACCCCTGATGTAAAAATTGGTAAACCCATCAGCCATCACAGAGGCTAAATACTCAGATTCAATACTACCACTGTAAAAATCAAAACTTTCCACAACATTAACCTGAGCACCCGGTTGCAGAAATGGCTGATCTAACTCAGAACCAGGAAGTGACCTTATCTGTTGGTCTTCAGAGTAAAATTGTGGCCCAGGACCTGAACGGTTGGCATTAGGTATCTCCTTAAGCCTTTCCTGCACAACAACAAATCACCAATCATCAAAATTTCTTCAAATTCTCAGAAAATTTTAAACCTTTTAAACAAAATTATAATCATAACTGTCCAAAAACGAATTACGTATGCTCTGCGATAAGGACGTCTAAAAGCCTAACACTACGGAAAGAAAAATTCGAAACTTGGCAAGCAAATAACAAAAACCCACAGGAAAATGAGATCTATTTCGACTTGTGAGTTCCAGGAGAACCGGGGAAAGGGCTAAGAATTGAATCAGGAGACTTCAATTTCAACACGGTTTCGATCATAAAGGAATCAGGAAGCTAACCTGGGTTTTGGAAGACGAACCAAGTAAAGCGTTGGTGAGAGCTCCGAGAGGATTAGAAGAAGAAGAAGAACCGGGAACGGCACAAGCGGCTCCGCCGTTAACAAGGTCTCTCATCGCCATGTTTCCAACGCTTCTCTACTCCGCCGCAATCACAGCCGTCGAATCTATCAGTATGGTTTCCTCCGTTGTCCGGAATTGATCATCACCTCCCAAATCCCAATCTATAGTTTGGCTCGTCTCGTGGCGGTGTTTTTGTTGTCGTGAAAAATTAATATAAATTTTTGGTAGTATTGGTATTTAATATTTATATATTATCCACACCACACACATTTTTAGGCTGACCAACACATTTTATTTTTATTTATTGTCATAATAAACCTTTTTTTTTTAATTGAAAAATTGTTGTGAATATATATTTTTATTTTCTTTCTTCATCAATATATTTTATATTCTTGTCCTATCACGAATGAAATATTGCCATTCACGATAAGCGAAAGTTATCTTTTAACCAAAAAATAAATGCATTTGACAAAACATAAATCAACAAAAAAAATCTCCAGAATTGTCTAATTGCTCTAATGCTATTGAAGCAATTTCCAACCGAAAGGACTGGTCTGACGCTCTTTGTGGATCAGATTTGTCCGAGTTGGTGCCACTTTTGAATTTTGCAGTTTCATATTAGTGTTGCACAAAGCAAATTATATTGTTTGATTTTTTCTTGTTTTAGTTATATTGTTTGATTGATTGTTCAATGCGTTACAAACGAAGGTAGATTAAGTATTTGTAACTCCTATCACATTTGGTCGACCAACATGACTTCTCCAATTTTATCAATAACAAAAATTGACTTCATCAACAATATTCTAGAGATCACTAGACTTTTTTTTTGTTTTACCTTCATTAACTTGAAATAATTTACACTCTAGAAATCAAACATGTTGTCTGACCACTAAATTAATGGACTTCCGTATTACAAAAAAATAAATATAGATGAATGTTGTGTTTTTCAAAATTCTAGTCTTTTTTGGTCAACTTCAAATTTATAATTTTATGAGTTCTAATCATTTAGTTTATATTATTTTCGTTTGTTACGCTTAATTAATATAATTAGGGGCCAAAATGAAGAAAAAAATGTATTTGGAAAAACAAGTCATGACGCCTAACCGCAAATACGTATGTATTGTGTAAGCTCGGTCCATACGGAAAAAAAATCCCAATATCCATTTAGTTGACCCGGTTTGATGTCTATAGAACCTGATCTAGGATCCAAATTTAGATTGATTTAAATAAATAAAAAAACTTCAATAAAACTAAAAAGCCTAAAAAAAACTCTTTAGGTCATGGAGAAATAAGTAACAAGATTGTATGAACTCCTAAATACCATATTCTTTTTGGGTACAAACACACTAAAATCTATTATTATATTGTAAAACAGATAAAACTTGTACAATAGTAGTTAAAACTATATTCTATATTATTATTTCAGATTTAATTTATTTAAAAGCCAAAACAAACGAAAAGTATAACATAGAGTCATAGACTATGAATGAAAATAACTAAGACATGACAAATTTGGTACGAGGTAAACAATATAGTATCAAATACCATATATTTTAGCAGTAACAATGATTTTTTGTGTAGTTTTCGACATAATAAGTAAATTTGTTTTGTAATGCATTTGCGACCCTAGTTCAATCATAGTGATAGATTAGGACATCAAAATAAATAGTTAAAGCAAATAAATAGAAAGCTATGTTTGTTTTATTTCTATTTTAGTTTAAAAATTGAGACATGTTCTTTGTTTCTATTTAACTATAAAAACCTCTGTTCGTTTTTGGACATATCTCTTACTTATGCTCTTAACATTTTCTATTTCTTAAAATGCAAACTCAAATCAAAATATGAACCAAAACTTGTAACAGGGTGTGAATGATTTGTTTATGAGATATGTCTAAAGAAGTCTTTGCGACAATTCAGAGTATTCTTGCTCAATTGTAGCAAGTTGGCGAATACTCAGAATGAAAATTTTTACAATCAAAATCTTTCGAGATAATGTTTCGTCTGTTCTGTATTTAAATGTATTATATACCGTATTTTTTCTGTATGAAGTAAAAACATAAATATTTAATGTTTTCAAATTTCTACTTTTTTGTGAACTTCAACTTTCTAGTTTTTTATTAATCACAATAATTTAGAATGTATTTTTTCTGTTCCTTACAATTTCTTTTGTTTGGTCGGTGTTTTCGTAATGGCGAAGAAAAAAAGAGGTTGGTTTTTTCGTAATAATTAATTCATAGGATTAGTTTAACGTAATGAAAAAATAAGCCATGAGGCGGCCTAACGCCTAAGTATAGATGCCTAAACTCCCACATATGTCAGCTCGGCCCATACGAGAAAGCCCAATATTCATTTAGTTGGTCCGGTTTGATGTCTCTAAGACCCGATCTAGGATCCGAATTCACATTGATTTAAATAAAAAACCTTTGATTAAAAAAAAAACTAAAAACCCAAAACGAAGAAATCATCGAAGGAGAAAGATCGACGAGAGAGAGACAACAATGGCACCTTCGTCGTCGAGCGGTTTAACCTTCAAGCTACATCCTTTGGTAATTGTAAACATATCGGATCACTACACTAGGGTCAAAACTCAGCTCAATCCTCCTGCTTCAATCTGCGCAAGCGGGCATGGCTCAAACAACGGCGAAGCAATGATCCAGCAAAACCCTAGGGTTTACGGATGTGTGATCGGAGTCCAGAGAGGTCGTACGGTTGAGATCTTCAACAGTTTCGAGCTTTTATATGATCCTTCGACTCAAACACTTGATAGATCTTTCCTCGAGAAGAAGCAAGAGCTATGTAAGCTAAAGCTCACTCTTTTTCTCTGTGTTTGTGTTTAGATTTTGAATTGTGCTTGATTACATTGATTTTTTAATTTGGTTTTATTGTTTGTTAGATAAGAAGGTGTTCCCTGATTTCTATATTCTGGGATGGTACTCTACGGGAAGTGATGCTGAGGAATCTGATATGCATATCCATAAAGCTGTGAGTCTGATGCTCTTTATAGTGTTTTTGTATGATTGAGATTTGGTCTCTGAAAGTGTGATTTTTGTGTCTGCTCTTGGTGACAGTTGATGGATATCAATGAATCTCCTGTTTATGTGCTTTTAAACCCGGCAATCAATCACGCACAGAAGGATCTTCCAGTGACTATCTATGAAAGTGGTATGTTTTTTATTACTCTTCTTGAAAAGTAGAACACATGGTTTGTGGGTACACACATTATTCGTTTCTGATATGTTATCATGTTTGTATAGGTATATGTGTAGTTCAGAGTTTCTAGATATCTTACCAAGTCTTCTTCTATATTGGCTTCCTGATTCTTACATTTGTTAGGTCAGATTGTTTTACAAGATCCTAACTTTTCTATTTGTTCATTGATTGTTCTTCGTTACTTGAAGAATTGCATGTCATTGATGGAATCCCACAGCTGATTTTTGTTCATACAAGCTACACAATCGAGGTCTGTTCTTAAGTTTGATTCTTTAATTTATCTATGTTATGAAAGTGGACCTTGACTAAGATTTTGAGATGTTATACAAAACAGACAGTTGAAGCTGAACGGATATCAGTCGATCATGTTGCACATCTCAAACCATCTGATGGAGGCTCAGCAGCAACCCAGTGTGAGCCTTATGTCACTAATACTTATCGTAACCCTCTTCCTCTACCTTACTGAACTTTTGCTGATTATTCGTTGATATGCAGTGGCTGCTCATCTTACTGGTATACATAGTGCCATCAAGATGCTTAATAGCAGAATCAGAGTGCTCTACCAATATCTTGCTGCAATGCAGAAAGGTATCTTCTATTCTTCCCCAAGTTCTCGTTCTCTTCACTGTGGTTTCATGTTACCAGTCCAGGATTATAGATGGAAGATAGTAAAAGTTGTGTAAGCTAATGCTTTATATGCCAATGATAATGACTCGTGGGGTCTTATGTGTAGATGATATTCCTTGTGACAACTCACTTCTGCGACAAGTATCTAGCCTGCTAAGAAGATTGCCTGCCATGGAATCAGAGAGATTTCAAGATAATTTCTTGATGGTAAGTTGTAGTTAGATTTGCACTTGATTCTTTTCAATGTAGCTTATTGTCTTAGGTATTTTTCAACTTATGCTGACGTTTTCCTTTCGCAGGAGTACAACGACAAATTACTAATAACTTACCTAGCGATGATTACAACTTGTTCCAGGTTTGTACCTTATGCAACAAGTAAAGCAAACTTTACAACGGATTTATAGTATTTAAAAACACATTTATAGGCAAGCGGATGCTCTTAAAAATTACAATCATGCTAGGCTTTTATGTCCTATTATCATCATTAGTTAACTAGTGTTTCCTTGGGAACTGTGAAAAATACTGTTATTCACCGGACTTGTGGATTCTGTTTCATCTGTCAATAATATATTTGCTCAATCTGCAGCAACATGAACGAGATGGTCGACAAATTCAACACCGCGTATGACAGAAACACTCGAAGAGGTGGAAGAACTGCATTCATGTAAAAGATTCTTTCTAGCAATTTAAGTTGTAAAAGATCTTCTCTTGGTTCCTGAAACCATTTTTGACTTTGTCTCTGTGAGAATCTATAATTCAAAAAGCATAACAAAGTTTCAGATACCAAACAATCCGAAGACTTTTATCCTCTTCATTGTTTCTATATATATAAGAAACATCTGCTTCTCTGTTGTTAGTATAAAGATTTTACGGTTTGATAGTCTCTTACTTCATCCATCAGCTTATTTGGTTGTGAATTTTGAGCAATTGGGTTCATCAACTATTGATGTTGGTAACATCTCAAAATCTTTTAAGAATCAACATCAGTTATGAACCAAATACACATATTTGTCTAAATAATATCTTATGAAGCCAAAACAAGAAAATAAGAACAGCCTTTACCTTCCCCAAAGTTTGAAACAAATAAATTAAAGAAGAAGAAAAACATAAAAGTTATTATACGGACCGACCAAATGCAGAATAGTAAAATTCAAATCTGAGGTAATCTACTCATGATCTGGTTATATACCGATTGTCCTGAATCCGAAACCGGTTCGACCTTTGGTTCCATCCCTCTCTGCATCATTGCTTCACTCATCCCAACCGGTTGTGTCAAATACGGGTGAGGCAAACCCGGCATTTTCCCTTGACCATACGCTAAACCAGGCATTGAAAGATTAGCCAAACCGGCTTGTCCTAAACCGAACGAGAAACCCGAAGGAGGACCCAAATGTGGCTGAAAGCTAAACGGACGTCCAAAAGGAGACTGGTTAGTCGTTGTGACTTGTCTGTCGAATCTCCCACGTGGCGGCTCTGTGTGATGACCGTTGTGGTAATGGTGAGAAACAGCAGCTGAACCGCCACTGTTACTGTTAACGCTGCCACCGCCTCCGTGGCTGCTGTTGCGTGCAGCGGGGACATCATGGATATGTTTGCCTTCGTAAGTTGTTATAACGGATTTGAGATCATGAGAAGCTCTTTCAACATGTTTTCTCACTGTACATTTAGGAGCTGTGCATTTGTAATAACTCCTACAAAAACATTATCAAAACATCATAAAACGATTTGGTTTTGTGATTGTGATGAACAACATATAGGCAGAAACAAAAGCAAAACAGAGGAGGTGATTATAAAGAACCTGGGATTTGGATTTCCTTTGACAACTTTCTGACCATATTTCCGCCAGCGATAGCCATCATCAAGAATGTCAACATCACTCGTTGTTTGCACAACAACTCTTGGTTCACGTACGGCTCTTGTTGCTCCACTCATCTCTGCTGCATAAGCTTCTAGTTTCCTGTAAAATCAAATCTTTTTTTTGAGTCTCAAAACATTCATACATTTACTGATTTATCGAAGATTTAGTATTTCAATTGCTAAAAAGAACCTTCTTTTCGACTCAGATTCATCTCCTTCTCCTCCCCCACCTCCTCCATCATAACCCATAGAAACACTTCCATGTGTCCCTCGATCATCTTCATCTTCATCGTTAGAGAATGTCGATGAAGCATCAACCACAACCACAGCATCACCTGACTCGTATTGACCTCCAGTTTGAGCTTGAATCGATCCAGATTGGTTTCCATATTCGAATCCCGTAGATCCCTCTTCGACATTGTTCTCATTGCTTCCACCTTGTTGGTGAGTGCTATTACAACTAACCCACGTTGCAGCAGAATCTCTCTGTTGTTGTTGTTCAACTTGTTCAGTTCCATCTACTTGCATCCCTGAGCGGCGATTCGGTGGAGGTTTAGAGTGATTATGAGCTCCTTTGTATATAATCTCTGTGATGTGACCTTCCCTTGATCTCTCAACTTTCTTCTTCACCTGACAATTCGGGTTTGTACACTTGTAATAGCTTCGCGGGTACTCACTTCCTTTGACTAACTTTTGTCCGTATTTCCTCCAGTTATATCCATCCTCTGCAGGCGCACCACCAACCATCGAATCACCTCGTCTTTGCTCTTCTTCTTCCTCTTGATGATCCACAGTTTCAAGACTGGTGTTTGTAGTGACATCAGATGTCTTGTTCTGCCCATTTTGATTGTCAGTTTCAATCCCATAAAGGTTGGAGCTTTCTATATTTTGAGAGCCAGGTTTTACATCTTCTGCGGATTGATGAGAAGAAGATCTATTGCTGTAGTTACCATAATCAACTGACATCATCTCTGTTGTGCCTTGGAAGAAAGAGGAAGATGATCTTGAAACAGGATGGAAGGTGAAAGATGCTCCAATATCATCAAAGAACTCGTCTTTCGCTTTATCAGAAGACAATGCATTACCGTTAACACCAGGAAGAAACGGAAATTTCCCGGTAGTTGGAGAAGGTTGAGCCTGCAAGGTCACAGAGATTATCAGAAAAAAAAGCTCCATAATAACATCGAAAGAAAGCAAACAACTTGGAGCTTACCAATGGGTTAGAAAGGAAAACAGGAGATTCCAAGAGTGTCGCAGGGCTAAGGCCAGGAGAAGAGATGGTTAAGCAAGGAGACCGAAGACTCGAGTCAATGGTAAAGTCAGTGTTGGAGCGGATATTCTCAGTGTTTAACCTCGGAGCATTAAATCCAGCTCTTGCAGCAATTCTTTCGCTGAGACCACCTCGAAAAACATTGGTTGGTGAAGAATCCTTGTTATGATTACCACTAGTGTCTTCTTCTAAACCAATAACTTGACCATGATTCAAAGATAACTCTCTTTCAAGAACACGTTTCGAGCTCTTCTCATTTCCAATAGCTGAGGAGAAGAGCGTCCCGGGACTAGGACTACGAGGCACCCATTCTCCCATTACAGCAACATTGTCATCAAAACCAGCCATTTAGGATCAAAGAATTTGACTGAGTCTCTGATCAAACTGTGATGAAACTCCTGAAAACATAATAAAGAATAAAAAAAGACTTCAGAATCTTTTGAAGACATGAAAATACTAACAAACAAAACAATAATCTAGCTAAACACAAAGATGATTTGGGACAAGTGTCACTGAACCAGTGAGCTTAAGAAGGTCTAATTAGTGTCTCAAAGTTTAAACCTTTTTTATTTCAAATTAGACAAAAAAAAAATATAAAATAATTCATCGAGACAAAAGAAAAAACTGTAAGAAAATGAAGAACTTTTTCTTTTTCACACGTTAAGCCACTTTCATGGAATCTCACGAAATCAAAACATAGGATTTTAGATTCGAGAATTTTGGAGATGAATCATTAGCAGAAACAAAAAAAATGATCGAGCCACGAAGATTAAAAACGACAAAGGAAAAGAAAAAAAAGCGTGTGATTATAGCTTAAACCAGACTGTAAGCAAAAACCTAAAAGGAGATGATTAAACAAATCATTATGGTTTGTTCAAAATCCAGAATTTAAGTTAAAGATGAAACATTTTAATCATAAAGAAATCAAATCACAAAAAAACGAAATCGATGGTGACTATTTACCTGATTGATAAAAGAAGACGACACACAAACACCGTCACAGCCGCCGCAGCCGCAAACGGAAATCGTCAGTTCCGCCGCTAACATCCAAGTGTGCTCTGATCCGAACACCAAAACCGAAAACCCACCCGACCCGGATCCGAATTCAACACTGATGAAGAAAAAAAGAGAGAGAGAGAGAGAGATATTTTTCCTCTCTCTGTTCTTCTTCTGGGTCTCACAGAAAAAAACCCAGAAAAAAAAAAACAAAACTTTACAACTTCTCTCTCCTAAATGAAATGATGATTGATCAAAAACAAAGATTTCACAGTCGAATTAGACTAATCTTTGAGACGAGAAAACAAAGTTCCAACATTTTTCTTTGCGTATGTTATGCTTTGAATTGAATTTTAGTCGGAAAAAATAAGATTTTGATTTGTGGGCGAGAAGAGGAATCTTCGAAAGTGAGAAATACAAGAAAAAAGATAGAGAGAGAGAATTATGAGACCATTTTGATCGATTTGTTTACTAAGGAAGAAGGAATAAAAAAGTTTTGCAGGAGAATGGTGAAGATGATGATGATGGGTGATTCGTGTTCTAACCTACACGAAGCGTTTTTTCTCAGTATTGAATTAACCTATCATAACACGCCACGTGGATTGATCGGACTAAGAGAATAAGATCGACGGACGTTGAGTGAGACATACCGTGAGGTGTATCACAGGTGATCTCTAACGAATTATCTGCCAACTTTTCACATTAATTTCTCTTCTATTTTCATATTTTGCGGATTGGTTATTAATAGGAAAAAAAATAATTTTTAAAAGGAAAATTATTGGCAAAAGTTCTATTCTGCCACATGTCGGATTTAGACAAAAATTCAATGATTATTTTATTACAGAGAACATAGTCTTATATTGGTTTGATTCATATGAATTGAAAAAGAAAAACTGAATTATCTCTTTGAGGACAAGAAAAAAAAAAGTTACATATAAAGCAGGTTGTTGTTTTTTTACTATAAGGGGTCACATTGGTTAGAAATTTGTGGAACAGAAAATCTAATCTGCTAGCTATTTTTATATAGCCTCTGTGTGTAGTAACTATGCTAGAAAAAAAATCAGTTAAAGGGAGAAATTTTGTCAAAATATTGTCACCACATAGAAAATATATATAAAATAGCATTTCTGAAAGAAAAAAAACAGTTAAATTTAACAAAAAGTATATTGTTGGGACTGACTTTCGAAATTTTAATATTTTAAATCGAATAAAATTATATATCTGACTTTTACAGTAAAATTATATGTTGCCAAATGTTTTTTTATTGGTGATGTTGAAAAATGTTGGTTTCATCGTAGTATTTTACTATTATTTTTTTTGTCAACGATAGATTCGGTTAATGATGTTGCGACGACACTAACAAAACTACTAGACTACAAGTTTTGATCCAGTATTTACTATTTTTGAAATTAATAATTTTTATTCTTGTAGTAATTTTAAGCTTTTTTATTGTTATATCAAACAAAGTAAATAAGTAGTAGATATTTTCGTGTATAATATTGTATTTTAAAAATTGAATTTATGTTTTTTTTTTTCTTGTTTTATCCTTCCTATTGCTCGATCTTTTAAGAGGATAGATAACAACAAGTAATGAAACTTGTTTCATGTATATGTATATTTACATCCAAAAGTCAAAATGTGTTTTGTAAATCAGTTTTTTTAAGTTATGTAACAACCATGGCCATTTAAAATAATTTTTATGAGCTATGCTCCCTTATAGTATTTAATTAGTTGTCTCGGTATAAGATATTTTTTACCTACCCAAATCATCGTTGAGTCGAAACACTCCAAGTTCAAACTAATGGAGTATATGAAACTAGAGACGCAACATAGATCTATATGGCAACCAAATCTTTCGACTTCAATCGATAAGACGTATAACTATAATATATTGAATTTGACATGTTTCTCATAGATGCATGTGGCTTGATTTTAAAACGATGCCTCTTAGATGAAACGTATTAACCTAAACTGCAATATAAGGAGATACGTTTACCAAACCATTGTGACATTCAGATATTCAAATATAGATGAATAATCTAATATAACTCGTAATAAGTAGTTAATTACTGGTTAAGAAACCTAAAAATCATTAAACGAACTAAATAACTTCAGACAAATATTCTTTACGAATATATGAGATACGTTAACGTTTATATCTTCTTTTTTCATTTCTTTTTGACATGTTACTTAACGTTTATATCTTCGTAAACCATTAACGATCATTTATTCATTTTGTATAGTATGAATTGAGTAAAGAGAAAGAAACAAAATGACTAACGTGCGTTAAGGATTATCTAATCTAATTGTATGTAGACATTAAATAAAATTGGGAATAATCAATCAATGACTTTAATTATACCTTAAATTGAATATTAAATTGGAAATTGAGGAGGCAGTTTTTCCAAAAAAACCCGGTCAAAAAAGAAACATTGACCAAGCCTCTTTTAGTATTTTGTTTTTCCTTTTTTACTTTTATTTTTTGTCTTTTTAAGAGCCGCAAATTATCCCGTTACGGAGCTGTGATCTTACACTCATGTGACAGCCAAAGCACGGTTGTGGCGTGGTGTACCTTTTTTTTCTTCTTACAGATATTTTTATTTTACACAGTGGGACCCGCAAAACGAACTTTGAAAGGACAGTGGATCGACGGCTCTGATTTCTTGTCAGTTTTTGGTGTCCATTCCAAATAAACCAAACCAAACCAACCAAAACAGAAATACTAATCCGAAAACCGAGTTATGGTTTTGAATGGTAATCCGTATATGTTTGACCCATTAGTAACATAAAACTATAAAAAAATTTAATGGTAAGTTGTTTCCGAATAGTATAAAATTATAAGGAATAGTGGTACATGAAACTGTAAAAAAAAGTCGAGAATAACGTTGGTATAACCGTATAAGTGATTGGTAATTGTCAAAGCGGTATACCGCACACCGCAATAAATTCAAATGTGGACCGAAACCGTACCAACCCATCCATCGCAGATTATATTTTCATGTGGATAATCTTATTCGTAAACCGAAAATTTAGAAAACCAAAAAGTCGAACCGAATCGAAATCGAAATCCGGATTGAACATGATATTTGTACCGAAGTAGGCTCCACTGTGTAAACTTGGGGTTTAAATTCTACATCACTTGGCCCATTAGGCCCATTATAGCTTAAATAAAATAAAATATTTGGAATTGACCCAATGGACTTGTTTTGACTGTCGGATCCGATGATCGAACCAATAGTTAACAGAGAAAAAAGTCAATGACCCGACCCGAGAAAAGCGGGTCGGATTGAAAATACCCGCACCGACGAGTTTACGATAGGAGAACCAAGTGGCTCTAATGGCACAAGCTTCTATGAGGATTTTTCAGTAAATGGATAGCCTGACACGAGGAAGCTGACCTCACTCGCTACTTGGGTCAATTGTGTATATATATATGTAATTATCGTTGTTGAGAAATTGGGACTCTGTTCTGTTGTAGAAAGCCGAAAGCTTTGGAGCTCTAATCTCTGTCTCTGGTAAAATTTTCTACTTATTCTTTATGATCGATTTGGTTTTGTTAAAATCCAGATCAATTTTGTTGAGATGGGTTTAGTTGTTGTGATGAATGCTAAGTGTTTGATGATTTGCTTCAGAGAAACGGGTCTTTCTCTGCTGCTTCTGTTTCATTTTATACAGATAAACCCAAAAGAAAAGGTTCTGTTTTTCCTAGGTTTAGTATTTTTGACTTGCCTTTAAAGGTTTTGCTTCAGATTTCGAAAGTCTATTTTTAGAAATCTGAGAAGTTTCCTTTGGGGTTTGTTGTTATTAGTACTGTTTCCCGCGCCGTATAAGTTAACTTGGAACGATGTTCTTTTGGACAAGACTAGAAGCAAAATTTTGTTTTGTATGGTTAAAATTAGATAGCTTTTTTTGGAAGGCAAATGGGTTTGATTTTCTTGTTTTCTTGGTTTAGTGAAGTTATCTGCATATCTTTAATGTTTCATATCTAGTTCATGAAAGAAATCTTATAAGGTTGTTTAAAGCATCTGTTTCAATCCTCGTAATCTGCAAAGCAGACAGTCGTCAATTCATTAGATGCAATTGATTCTAGAAGTTTCACTTGTTAGGAATCTTAGGGCATTGTATTTCGTAAGCTGTGTGTGATTTGAGTATTTGCTCTGCCTTCTTGAGCCTGATGATTTGAGTCTTTGCTCTGCTTTCTTGAGCCTGAGGATTTGATCCACATCTCAGCCTCTTCCAAGTCTGGGTTTAACACCGTTCATATGCAAAGAGTTGCATATGTTTTTGCTAATAAATCATTCGCTTGACTGTTTATTCTCGTTTTGTCTCTTTTGATGTTATGGCTCATTAAACGCTTCTCTTAAACTTATATTGGAATCTTTGTGTTTATGGTTAAATGCTTATAGAATCTGGCTCAACCCTTGTAAACAATACACCAAACTTGTGTTCTACTTACATTTATCAGATTTAAGAGTCAAGCAAACAGTGATCAATTCAGTCAACTATTCGAAATTTTAAGGTCATTGCATTTCATAAGTTGTTTGTAATTTGAGTCTCTCTCTGTTTTCTTGAGCCTGAGGATTTAATCCAAATCTCAACCTCTTCCTTTCTTCCAAGTCTGGCTTTAACACTGTTTTAGATGCTTCTCCTGAACTTATATTCAAGTCACTGTGTATTTCTGGTTAAATCTTGTCATCAGCTTTCAAGTGTGTTTGTCTAAAGTCAGTAATAAAATTGATACGTTTTGGCGTCTTGAATCACTCGAATTGTTCATGTTGAAGGATAGATTCCAAATTGTAAATCGGTATTGAAGAGATTGACAACTCTTGTCTATGTTTGTTTAGTTTGTTTTGCTATTTTCATCCTATTCTCAGTTCCCAACTCTAATCTGTCTTGTGATTCCAAATGCAGAATATACACACAACACACAGGATCTCCCATGGCTGCATTTGCAACTGCAGAAGCATGTGACAGCAACGCAGAACTAATATCAAACGGAGACTTACGCGCTCTCCACCCAATCTTCAAGATCTATGGCCAAAGAAGATGCTTCTCAGGACCAATCGTGACTCTCAAGGTCTTTGAAGACAATGTCCTCGTCAGAAACCAACTAGAGACAAAAGGAGAAGGCGGAGTCTTAGTTATAGACGGTGGTGGAAGCATGAGATGCGCACTTGTTGGAGGAAACCTCGGACAGTTAGCTCAGAACAACGGGTGGTCAGGGATTGTTGTGAATGGATGCGTTAGAGATGTGGATGAGATCAATGACTGCGATGTTGGGGTCAGGGCCTTGGGATCTAACCCGTTGAAGTCTACAAAGAAAGGTCATGGGGAGAAGAATGTGCCGGTTCATATTGGAGGAACTTTGATTAGAGATGGAGAGTGGCTATATGCTGATAGTGATGGTATCTTGATCTCCATGACCGAACTCTCTGTTTGAGTCAGAAGGTTTCCTTGATAGTGCTATGAGACTGCAGCTTCTTGAAGTAAGGTGGTTTATTTGAATTCTTAGTAATCGGTTCAATACTCTCCAAATAATCATTTGTTGCAATATACCTACGTTTTATGAAATTACTAGATCTTGACCCGCACGTACGTGCGGGGTTTCATATCTTAAGAAATGTGTTGTAATAAATTTTTAGTAAATATAAATTATTTATTTTTTAGTAAATATTGTAGTATATAAATTATAATGTATCAAAAAAGTGTAGAATGCTATTATTGTTGTTTATGACATAATAGCCAATGTTGTGAACCATATGTCAAATTTTCGTGTTTGAAACTGAAGAGTAGATTAGAAAAAATCTTAGATTGAAATATAATATAGGTTAGATTGATGTAAACAAATATATTTTATATAGTATTTATAACCCAAATTCATATTAGTTGGGTATTTAGTTTAATTTTCAGTTTGGTTTTAATGTAGCTTATTAATGTTTGAATAGTTGAAATAATAATTGTTTCAGCAGTATTTTAAAATTCAACAACTTAGCGGTCGGACGGGATCAAATTGAAGCGGATTAACGGTTAGTTAGATTTGTATTAAACTTGTGAACTATCAAACCTTATATAAAACCGTTAAAAATGATTAACAAATACAAATATTTAGAGGTGGGCGTAATTCCATTATATCATATACCCGTTCCCCAATTCATGTCCCATAAGAGAATGCATTTCTAATATAAGACAAATTTATTAAATATAGATATTTTAAATTTATTTGATAAACTTGCTCCATAATTTTTAAAAACGAATCTTCACAAAATCTTAAAATGAGAGAGGGTTTAATGTAAATAAATTTTAGATAATCATTTGAATTAATTGTATTTTATGTGTAAATATTTTAACAGCTTGTAATTTATATTAGTTATTTTGGATGTATGCATAAATGCATAATATTTATATACACAAAATTCTAGGAAATAGATTTGTACACAAAAATTAGGTTTCAATTTGTGGATTCAATCTTTACCAAAAAAAAAAAACAATCTTAATTGCATATTTTAAATTTATGATGACGAAAATATTAAAACAAAATCTTAAATTTTCTATGATCTCAACGATTTTGGTATTTTTCCATTAAACTTATCCTTATGCAATTTCGCAAATATGGTAATTATGATTGTTCAAATACAACTTACCAAAAAAATGATTGTTCAAATACGATTAATGAGCTGTTAAAAAAATCTTATTAATGTTTTTTCCAAAAAAGAAGCTATTCTAATTCATAAGAAAATAAGTATATTGGTGTGAATCAATATTTTCTCATTTTGAAACATTTGCATTGAAAATTAAAATATTGGTATTTAAATTATATTTTAATGATTTTATCTCCATGACCGAACTCTCTGTTTGAGTCAGAAGGTTTCCTTGATAGTGCTATGAGACTGCAGCTTCTTGAAGTAAGGTGGTTTATTTGAATTCTTAGTAATCGGTTCAATACTCTCCAAATAATCATTTGTTGCAATATACCTACGTTTTATGAAATTATATCATACAAAATAAAAGTCTAAACGAATTAAAACATTTCTTTGTAACTTCTCTATTTAGTTCTACAAGTTTGGAAAAGACGTGGATCATGTGATTGGTATAAGAACTTTCATTGAATTGAAAGAGATCAATAAGTCAAAACATGTGTATCAGTGACAAAATTTCACAAAAAGGACTTGTTTTTCTAAAATATTATCTTCTTCTTCCATCATTGCAATAATTCTTGTACGAATGGATTTTAATTAGCTGTTAGACGGCTCGTGCGATTGACGCATAATTTTTTTTTTGGTAAATTACTCCAAGGAGGTAGTTGCCGGTGGAAACAGGCTCCAAATGCAGGAGAAGGACTATTTACTTGAATTTGAATACAAAATTCTGCAATATGAGGTTTGAAAGAATACATATCGTGGTGGACCAACTACTACTTTTATGGAATTGAAACTATTGAATAAATAGTTAAATACTTTCATAATTTGACCCAAAAAAAAATACCATTTCAATTAAAATCAAATTCATACCGAACCAAAATAAGATCAGATTTATGTGTCACGTTAATTTCGGTTCACTCGTTTTTGTCGACCAACACACATCGAGATCGTACGGAAAAATCGGTGCTCCACGTTAATAAAAAAAAAAAAAAGGTGTTTCCCAAGAGCCAAAATGATAAAAAAGAATAATTTCAAAATTAAAAAGAAAATGTGTATTCAAGGCTAAGAAAAAATATATTATTAAAATATGAATAATATGTTCCGTCACATTAATAAAATAAAGGGATTATTGTTGATTTTGCCCTTTTTTATCAAAATCTTTTGAAAATGCCATTTTTATTAAAATCTTACGGATTTGCCATTTTTTACACTTAAAAATGTACGTATTTCGGATTTTTTTTGGTAAAAATACGTAGTTTATACAAAATACTAAACCCTAAGAACAACCACAACCGACTAAACCCAAACATAACGAATAAAACGCATGTTAAATCATATTTTCGTAGCCTGAAAAAGGGCAAAATCCATAAACTATTCAAAAAAGGGCAAAATCCACAAATGCCATCCCAAAAAATGGCAAATCCATAATTGATTCTAAAATAAAAGCATCATAAAAAGTTAGACAGACCACACCATCACCATTCACCATGTTCATGCCATCGATAATTTGACGTATGTGGACATTTCATATTTTCTCTTAACACTCCTTTGTTTTCTACATGGTATCTATATTAGTCTATTATTTCTAGCATATTTTGTATCTATCGAATCTTCTAAATCAAAAGTTAAATTTTATGTTGAAATATATTTTTGATATATAAAGTTATACACATATTGATGCTGTTTGGCTTTTATTTACGAATCAATTACGGATTTGCCATTTTTTTAGTGGCATTTGTGGATTTTGCCCTTTTTTGAATAGTTTGTGGATTTTGCCCTTTTTCAGGGTGATTTAACATGCGTTATATCCGTTATGTTTGGGTTTAGTCGGTTCTATTTGTTCTTAGGGTTTAGTATTTGGTATAAAATACTTATTTTTGCAAAAAAAAATCGTAAATACGTACATTTTTAAGTGTTAAAAAATGGCAAATCCATAAGATTTTTGTAAAAAAGGCATTTTCAAAAGTTTTTGGTAAAAAAGGGCAAAATCAACAATAATCCCTTTATTTACCAGCAAATGTTTAAATTTTATCAAATGAATTTTTATAATTTGGATGATATGACACTCTAAACTAGAATAAGTAAATTCTACACCATACAAATCTAGTTGATTCCAATTAAAACGAAACTATTATACCTACGCGAGTCTACGACCACTTGTTTCATTCTATATTTGAAGAATTTCGAACTACTAATTTGATTGAACTTATTAATCAAAAGCTAAAAACGGCTGTTCTTGTGATTTATCATTGCGATTAAGAAGCTATATTATTATTATTTTCTTGCTTGAATCCATAACTTATCAATTTGTCATTCATTACTTCACAAAGAAAAATAAAAACAAAAGTGTCGTGTAGCGAAGGAATTATGGGACCTCCAATAAGTCCATAGGGCATGGAATATGACTTAACGAGGAAAATGATGTTTGACTAAAATCATCATTTCTTTAGCCCTTACGTTTCCACAAAATGGCACTCTCCTCTTTTATTTTTAGCTATGATTTTTCTTAATTTCTGTAATAATGCGGTTGATTTAATGATAATTCTGGCTGTTTATACATTCGTTTGAAAATATCAATCATAATTTATACATTCTGGAGCTTGTAAATTTGAGAAAAAAGTGGTTATGATGAGAACCTATATAACTTCTATATCAATCTGTCATTTTTTTCTTTCAAGAATGCACAAACATATATATGACCAACTTTTCAACAATTGGATCCCTTTTTCTTAAACTCTTGGCTTGCTCTCAAAATCAGTCTAAGGACATCATGTTCTTATGTATTTTCAACTTTAGAAAGCACACTAAAAAACATATCATTGATTCTGAATCAAAGTCAGTCTTTTATTCATTTCCACGATTCCAAATTCTTCGACCATTTACGTGGTTTCTATGACTTTAAACGTTGGACAAAAAATTGGAACGATACCTCCATATCGTCTCAAAGATATCATATATGGTCATTGGTTTGTTCCACATGCTCCACCTTAATATTCTCCGAAGATCGTATATATATCGCTTATTGGTCCTAGATTCATACATATTATTCCTTAGCAATATCACAAAAGAAATAATCTTAAGGTCATGTGGAATCCTTGTCATGAGCGATCATTTTGTTCACAAACCGTCTCGATCGTTCTTATAGAACTTCCCATAATTTGATAAACTTGTCCCAAAACTGAAGTTAGTCAACCCACATTTAAGTCAAGTTTTCATTTGCTTTTCAATGGTCGTCGAATCATCTATAGGAAAAAAGCATCCATATCTATGCAATGAAAAAAGGGATCTAAACTCAAACAATAACATAATTAAATTTCTTAATTACTTTTTATAAATAAAGTTTCTAAACTTACCATAAATTAAAAAATATTTACATTATGTATTTGTTTGAAAAATCGCTAGGCGCTAGTCGGGCGTTAGGTATGGGCCTAGCGATTAATCGGAAAATCGGATTAAAATCGGGGATTAATCGGAGATTAGAAAAAAGTTAGCAGCAGCCTCTACTAGTCTGGTTCATTTCAGGCCCAGAAGTGGCCAAAACTAAAATAAAAGTTATGGTAAAATGCACTAAAAAAATGGTTTTAAAATTCAAAAACAACTATTTAGGAATTCACACAGCTCACTTACAGATATACGAAAGGAACAGCGACGAGGAAATTAAAAAAAAAAAAAAACTAAAATCATTTAAACTTTAGTTTATTTTATTTACTTTAGTTTATTTTATTTAGTAAACAGTATGTTTATTTAATACTTAAGGGAACCTGATACCACTTTGATGTGTTAGTGCGTGGTTCTTTTTCATCTCTCTCTCTCTCTAAGAAAATCTTTTCTTCTGCCAAGAAAACCATTTCTGAAAATAATCAAAGGTTTGTGTCTATTTACTGATATAATTTCTTTGTTTTTTTTTTTAATCTGAAACTTTATTTTAGCAACTCTCTTCTTCTTCTCTCTTCGTCGTCTTCTACTTCTTTGTTTTTTTTTTGTATTGTCTCACCGATTTACAGTTTCTTGTTCTTACATCATAACTAAGTTTCAAAGATCCAAACTTGTATTCTTCAAAATAGGTATGCATATAAATACATATAGTCCTCTGTAAGTTTTTTGGTATTTTATGATCCATTTTTTTCTTCTGTTCATTGCATTATTAAAAAGGGTTTGGTTTTAATTCATATTTATTCTTCCCAGATTTGTTTTTTAATCTCATGTTTCAGTTTAGTCACCCACCACAAGTAGAGATTACTGTTTTTTTTCTAAGGGTTTTGCTTATCTTCTTTCAATGTCTTGATTTTTTTCTTAAATCTCAATAGTTTCTGGAAAAAAAAAAACAAATCTCAATGAACTTTGGTTTAAATCTCACCAGATGTATGTTTACTTACCTATGTGTCTTGATCTATTTGTTTCTTATTGTCATGTCTTGAGTTTTCTGTTATTCCTTGCATAAAATAACACTCCAATCAGATTAGAAACTGATGCTTCTTTTTAGGGGAAAAAACTGAAAGAATTAAAAATCCAATCTTTTGATTGTTCCTGTTTGTGATTTGCTTCACCAATCAAACCCATATACTTCAAAATCTCACCCACTAATCCTAATTTTATTCTCTGTTTTCTTCACATGAAATAATATTTTTTTTCTTCAAGAAAGATCTTCTCAAGTTTCTGGGTATTAAAGACTGAAACTTTAAACTCTTTTTCAGGTTTCATAGGCTCACAGATTTGGTATTATAAAGATCTGGTGTTATGCAGAAGAGCAGGGTCAAGGTTAAAAGTGAAGAAGTGAATAGTAGTAACAGTGGAAGAAGAATCAAATGTTCTTATCATCCACTGATCAAACAAGTCCTTCTAACAACAATCCATCATCTTCTTCTAATTTCTTACATCTGACCAACTCTAGTGATGAGTTAGGTCAATCACATCTTTCAAGTTTCTCCATCAGGTAATCTTAAAGTTTCTCCCTCTCCGATTTTGTTGGGGTTTTTATGGAGATGAAGTCAACAGTTTCTTCTTCACCATTGTTTTAGGCTAAAGTCTTTAGCTTTCTTGTTAGGTTTGATTACTGATACATCTTTTCTTCTCATCCATTCAATTTTTGCTAAATGGGTCAGATTCAAAACAAAATGCTTTTTCTTTTTCTTTCTTTCACCTTCTGTGATTATGTGGAGCTTAATGGTATTGAGTTTTGACTATTCTTTATATTTTTTTCTTTTGTTTGATCCGTTGGTCCATGATCTGAACGAGTCTCAGTACGTATCATCAAAGAACAAACTTTTCTTTGTTGTGTCATGTCTCTCAGAAGTTTTTTTCTTTATAAAGCCTGTACCTTTGTTTTGTCTGGTTGTTGTACGAATGGTTGATGATTTGGTTTTTGTGATGTTTTTTGCAGAGATTATGCATTTAGTTACCGGACTAAGAACATCAAGAAAAGTTGGCCTTTTTCTTCAACAAGTTTGCAACTTTGTTTAAAACATGGCTTAAGTGATCCATTGCCACCGATACAGCCTCTTGGCACTGTGATAAGCCATCTTCCTGAAGTGAAGAAGCCAAACATAACTCATGTCGAAGCGATAAGTAACAAGAAAAAGTCAGAGAAACTTGGCTCTAATCAGACATTAGTAGAGACTAAACAAGGCTTTGAGAATGGTTTGTTGGCCAGTGGTTCGAAATCCAAAATACAAGTAGCTATGGTAAACAAGACTCCTAGAAAAAAGGGTGGATTAGTAGTGAAACCTGGAGCTTGTGTGGATAGTGGATCAAAAGAAGATCATAGTTGCCTCTTTTCAGCTTCTGAATCTATGGCTTTGAGAACTTGTCCCATCTGCAAAACCTTCTCGTCTGCTTCTAACACTACTTTAAATGCGCACATGGATCAGTGTCTATCTGTTGACACGGGACAGCAGCTGATTAGTAAGCCAAACAGGCCTAAGACTAAGCCACGGTTGAAAGTTAAATCGATGATTGATATCTACGCTTCTGCGAAAGAAGACACATTAGAAGATCTTGATAAAAGAAATGGAACTAAGTGGGCTGTGATTTCGAGCTACTCTAACCGGGTTGTGTCTGATAATAAGTCTGAAGTGTGCAACAAAGAAAAGAAGCGGAGCGTGTTGCGTGTTCGCATTGATGAAGATGCTGCTGGCATTGGACCTGTTTACATTGATGCTAAGGGCCAAAAACTGCGGATTTTATCTAAGTTTAACGAGAAAGCTTCTGATCCATCAAGAGAGCATGAAGATGTTTGTGAGAAGAAATCTTCTAGTGAAGGTAAAGGGAGCAAAAGCTTTAAGAAAAAACTTCGGGGAGAGAAATATTACAAGCATCGTAAACTAGTTCCTCAAACCAGAAAACTCACTGTTCATAAAGGCAATGCTTCAGAGGTATGCTCTCATTCGACCTCTCATTGTTTTCTTCTGTAATTTATGCATTTGCATGATCCTATCTTGATTTGGTCGCTAGATTCTTAAAGTAACACCAGTTTGTTTAACAAAATCATTTGTGTAACAGATGCCGGAGTATCCAAGAGGATATTCTGAAGAAGGTAAAGACTTTGAGAGGTTAGAAACTTCAGGTCCTGGTCAGCGTAGAATTTTCAACCAGCGGATACTAACAAAACGTCGTCTTTCAAGACATGGAAATAAGAATGGGACAAAATTTTGTGACCAGCCATCTGAGAATGGGCATTCATTGTCAGAAGATCCTCTTGTATCAAGAGGTCCAAGTCATGTGAGTACTGATTTATCCGAGACAGTTTCTTCTCCTTTAAACAGTCTAGGGTCATGGAGAATTTGTGGGGAGAGCCAAGTCTCTGGAAAGAGCTGGGCTTTGTCTAGGAACAAAAGCGTTGAAAGTGATTTATTTGTAGCAAATCCCTTGAGATGTTCAATACCTGTGGAGAAGGAGTTTTCATCCAACTTATCCAAGGCAAAAGGCTTTATGAAGTTCAAGAAAGCTCGATTGGATTTCTCAGAGAATGAAGATACAGGGAAATGGGAGTCTGAAATGACTCAAGAACGTGAACTAAGTGATTATGATGATTGGGATGCTGATGATGGAGAAACTGATAAGGTTGTGCTAAGCTCAAATCCTTCGTTTAGTGGGGAAGATAATGATTATGAAAGCTATGAAGAGACTGGTAATAACAAAGGAGATGATGATATGTTGGACAAAAATAATGATGCAGATGTTGAGTTTGAAAGCATGATTTATGAGAAAACTGGTTGCGAAACTGCGGAACAAGAAAGCTCGTTCATGGAGGTTGATCCCATTCCTATTCCAGGACCTCCGGGATCATTTTTACCGAGTCCTTGGGATATGGGAAGTGATGCAATTGAACATCATGGAAACTCTTCAGTTATCACAAGCCAAGTCCACTCTTCACAAGATCAGTTTGATCTCACTGACAGAAATTCATCGGAATCACCTGTTTCAGCGATTTCACACTTTGCCGCTCCTGAAACACAGACATTAAGTCTTCATAACATCATCACCATTGACAAGAGACCTTCCAGATTCAGAGATAGTGATCAATCATGTTGTTGCCAAAGAAAGGAGAAAGCTCTTGAAGATACCACATTTTGTCAACCACCACAACGCATGATCCAACAAGATTTGGATTTCCTGAGTAAGTCTGTGCCTGCGGTTCCTTCAAATCCCAACCCGGTGTTGCGGCTAATGGGAAAGGATTTGATGGTTATTAACCAAAGAGAAGAGCCTTCACACGACGAATCAAGTCCAAAAACAACCTCTCAGTATCTAGATCTTTCTAAGACACAACAAGCATCTCCTTCTGTTAATCATCTTCATCGTCCTTATGGTGGAAGCGGTTATTTCGACACCAGCACAAGGTTCTACAACATTCCATGAAAATTCAGATCAAGAACTCTACTTTTCTCCAAGATACGATATATATTCCATGGCATTTCAGATCAAAGTCCAGGCATTTTCCTTAAGCTTGAGAATCTTGAGAAGCTAGGCACCTGAAGCTCTCATGTTTCTCTTTGTTAAAGAGGTTGAGAATCACAAAGGGGCTGCTTTAGGAGAAATGGTGAGATAGATTATATTATCTCCTCATAGGATGATATGAGAACTCCACTAAGGTAAAAGGACCCCACTTTTGTTCAACACTTGTTTTAAAGATGAAACTTATTATAATGTTATGAAAACGAATTTTAAATAAAATATATAAGAGTTAACATCATGATGCTTCTCTTTATATAGATATAAAATAAATGTATGGTTGAAATCATATGATGTAGTCAAGATCATAGTCACCGTCATAACATACATTATGTATACGCAATTCATTTTTTTTTTTTTTCCTCACTCATTCCTTATTTTAGATTGCAAACATATAAACTTTATTATACACAGAGATGCGTAAACAATGCAAAACTAGATGGACAAGGATTTTATATAGAACAACAAAAATAGAAATAGTTGCATTTTGGCGTATTTATTATTATTACAAGAAAATTTAAATAAAATTAGGGAATATTTTGGTGAAAATAATGAATATATAGATGACAAAAAAAATAATAATGAATATATATTTGCGTAGAGATGAGTACAAGCACAACGGCTATGTTGCATGCGCATTTTCAAAATCATTTGCTTATTATCATATGCTTCTCTCACTCCATGTCTTCTTTTGTTTTACATGTTCCTTGATACACATCTAAATGTATATAAATGTATATATAAATGTATTATCATATACAAATGTGCACAATATATAGTGACGGACCTTTCAATTAATTTTCTCTGGTCCATAATAATTTTGTAAGCAAATATTCGCCAACTATACTATTAAATGATCCATGCATTGGCAATTCAATTAGTTAGAAGAATGTTACACCGATGATGTTATAACTTATAAGATCCAAATTCAGATGCTGTTTATAGAGAGATTATTCAAAAAGCTCTATGTATAAAGTATAATACATAGTTTGTAGTTTTTTGCAAGGTTTGAAATTTGAGCACTCTTTTGGTGTAGAATAATGGTTACGTATCCACAAAATAAATTGAAATTTTCAGATAGTTTAGAGACTACTGCATCAAAAAGAGAGGTAATATTGGTCCTAAAATTCAACTTTTTTATTTTTGAAATTGCCACTAACTCCTAAATAATTACAACTTGTGGCAACTTGTGAGAACATTTGACCGTTTGGAAAAAGTTATTAGAATCAATTATGGATTTGCCATTTTTTTTGGATGGCATTTGTGGATTTTGCCTTTTTTTGAATAGTTTATGGATTTTGCCATTTTTCAGGCTACGGAAATATGATTTAACATGCGTTTTATTTGTTATGTTTGGGTTTAGTCGGTTGTGGTTGTTCTTAGGGTTTAGTATTTTGTATAAACTACGTATTTTTACCAAAAAAAATCCAAAATACGTACATTTTTAAGTGTTAAAAATGGCATATCCGTAAGATTTTAGTAAAAATGGCAATTTCAAAAGATTTCTATGAAAAATGGCAAAATCAACAATAATCCCAAAGTTATTATCATGAAAGAAAGAATTTTGATATGATAAAATGACTAGTTGAAAGTTGACAGACACTATGGAATATTTATAAGCGCTTCTTTTTGGGGTCAACATTTAAAGTATTTGTATTGACGAAAAATACATTTATATTTATTTTGATGGCAAATTTTTTCTTTAGATATAAGTTTTTCAGTTTTTGTAACACCTACGACATTATAAAAGTCATATAACATTACATAATTGCATATCTGGAATTGACAATTCTCACTTTTAGTATTTTAACAAAATATATCAGATTTTCTATATTAATTAAATTAGGCGCCGACAAAATAATAATGAATATTAGCCTATTATATTAGGTTGTCATCTAACTTCCATTGAGAGAAAATTTTAGTCGACGTAAACAATAAATTTAGTTTGAAAAAAAAGAATAATGAAAAGTATTTTAAACAATATAACAAGAAATTCGTAAGATGTGGTCTTTTAATTAAACAACAATTTAGAAGAACTAACAAATACCTACCTCATGGAACTGTGTCAAGGGCCGACTCTCTGATTATACATGTCACATGATATATTAATATATAACTATATTTGCCCAAAATTTATAAGATTTAGTTTGAAGTCTAATCATTTTTTGTATGTTATGTTAAAAGAGATTCGTATTCATCGATCCTTCAACTTTTATCCTTTTCGTAATAATGTAGTTTAATTACCTATAGTAGAAAAAAAAATCATTAGTGATCAAACCACAATATAGTGATAAACAAACAAATCCATAATATGGAAGATTTTTGTCACAAAATAGACCTCTAAAAAGCTTTAATTCATTTATACTGATATGCATCTCAAAATATTTTAACTTATTTGACGATTCTAAATTTAAGAAATCATCGTTTTTTTTTTTTGTAGAAAATAATAATTTTGAACTATATACTAATTTATATATATATATAAAAGTATTTTTTTAAATAGCTTGAAAACAGAAAAATGTACAAATGGAGCAGTACAAACAGAAAAAATCAGTTACAAGAAAAAAAAATAGTGTTGATTACTTTTTTAGACGATAAGAGTTATTGGACGGCGTTGGCCAAAAAAAGAAAGAAAAGAAAATCGGAATGCATGTTATTATTTTCTAGAATATATGTTGATAATTGTCAAAAAATAAAGAAGAATATATGTTGATATTATTTAAAGCAGGCCCACTTAGCGGATTATTTTATTTTGGCGTGAAGATCGTAAATTAAACTAAATTAGTAGACGAAATGTTGGTTTTGGTCCACCATTAGTAGCTTTACCCAATAAAAAAAATTAAGGATGTGATTGGTGAGGAGGAGAGGAAGTGAGACTAAATTAAAATTAAAAAGATAAATGAAATAAAAAAATGAATCCTAGCTTAAACTAGCTGAAATACTTTCTTTTTTTTGGGGAAGGCAAGTTTACTCTGTTTTTTTTTTCGTTTTTTAGCTGAAACAGCTACAATTATTTTTAAAATTTTCAACTTGATTGGTAAAATAATAGAAAAATCGAGAGAGTATATTTTCAGCTGATATTTTTACTCTAAAGCATATTTAAAAGCACAAGACATATATGATATAGCTAGGACTTTAATATATTAAGTTGGTGCACATTTCCTTGCCATTAAGTTAACACTAGATAATATCCCGCACTATGTGCGGGACAAAACGATTATTAAATATATTTTAATATATTGATAATATTGAAGGTGTTCGAATTTTATATTATTAGATAAACGGTAGTGTATTAATGATTATCAAGATTAATGAAAATTTTCATTTATGTTTATCATGATTTATAATATATATTTTGTTATATTAATAGATACACAAAATATTAAGTACTCCATTTTGTATAGATTTGTATCTCTTAATTACATATTTTTAATTGTATTTTTGTTTTAATTGAGAAAAATAAAAAGCATAAATTAATTAGAAAAAATAAACATAAGTAAAACTAATGGTAAAATATGTAAATATCCTAATAAATATTGGGTCTTTAACTAAATAGATTGAGAAGCTCTGTGAGAACGACACGTCAGCATGGCATTTTCGTTAATCACACATGAGTGTAAGGTTATATTTTAAAAATGCTTCTCAATTAATATATAAGGGATATCTACTAACAAAAGATATAGAAAGAGAAGTAATAATTTGTTTTCGTTCACGAGTTGCACATTATCTTATGTAACTTCCATAGTACATACTAATAAATCAGATTTGAATTCAAGTGCCCACTAATCAATATCCAAATAAACTCCTCTTCATTCAGGTTCTCACTACGATTTGTATTCCGACCATATGTAACACTCTTATTATTTGTCAAAATAGGTAACACTCTTATTGATTCATACGTACACAACTCAAGAGTTTGATCAAATGTTAATTTGTGCTTAAGCATGAGAGATCGATGTTTGGAAGATTATGAATCAAATGGTGAGATGTGACCGAGCGTGACAAATAAGAAGCCTTCCTCACGTAAATCTGTCTTATCTCGCTTATAACGATGTTTGCGCTTTTTGATTCAGACTGATAAAGTATATAATACACTGATATTTTTTTTTTGGTAAAATTTTTTTTTCTTTTCTTTTTACGTATAATAAGTATAATACGTCCTTAAGATATCAGTTTAATATTTTTTTTTTGTTAAAGTATAATACACTGATATTACACGAAAGCTATCAATAAGAGTGTTATGTATGCCAATTACGAATCAAAGATCGGTTAAAATCACTCTGATCAAAGATCTGTTCAAATCACTCTGATCTCTCTTATATATAAATATGGATATAGGTACGTATACGGTATGGATGAAATAATTAAAAAGATTGTGCACATGCATGAATACATTACATATACATGCATGCATGACACTATTATATATACGATTTGGGTTAATCTCTTTCGTCCACGTCGATTCGACGTTTGTACTAACTATTTTGTATACACCACATTTGCATATTCATTACTTTTTTAGTGTTCATGCTTTTTCCCATGCTTGCTTATTTAATTTTTCGAATTTATAAAACCCATAGTTTCTTCTATCATAAATACTCTGAAGAGGCGAAGATAACATAAACTATTAAAACTTTCATTCCATCCAAAAGTTTATTCGAGTTTCGGAAAAAAAAACAACTTTGGAGAGGAAAAATAAGAGAATAATTACCACAAAAAAAGAAGAAGAAGAAGAATAAAGCTAAAATATTTATCAATTTCATATTATATTGTTTGTGGATAGGAACATATATCAATACAAATATAAACATATTTTATATGTAGATGCGCGTGTAAGTAAAGTAAAAATATCTAAGCGCGTGTTCGTTTGATGAGTTTGTACGAATTTCGTAAATAAGATTTCATGAACGTACAAAATGATTTCGTTTGGTTAAAAAAGTAAAAATAGTAAACAAAATTATTAATAATTTAATAGAGAGAGTGGAGGAACAACGGCCCCAAGATTTTTTTTTAAGATTGATGTGATTGCGACGTGTCGCTTGCTTGTCTGCTATGTGGGCCCCACACCCATTGCTACTTGCCTACTTGGTAATTCATTTTTGAGCTTTTTTCATTTTGGAGATAAATATTTTATTTTAATAATTGGATCTTGAAATTTGATAACTCTTAAACTTGGATTTGGATTTTAAATCGAATTTAACAAAAATAGGAGGTAACCAATCACTTGTTTTAGCCAAACTGTTAAATCATATTTATACAATAAATTAACTCTATCAATGAAGTTTATACTATATAATTTTTACTATAATTACATCAAATTTTAACATTGACTATAATTCAATTTTAATAACCCGTATTATCAGTTGGTGTCTAAATGTTTTTAAGTTATTATGAAAACCATTTAATTGTTTCTTTATATTTGTAAGATTTTTTTTTTCAAACATTTCGAGTTCATAAGAAAAATTTATTCAATATATATATTCATAAAAAAATTAAATATATAATGAGTTATTTGGATGATTTTGGTTTAGTTTTGAAAGTTACACATCCAATAGCCTTAAATTTTATAAAGCTGTTAAAATTTCATATCTAATATAAAAATAGATTACAGAAATAGCCACAATCTTCCCTAATTCATAATCCAGTAACCTTAGTTTCTTTTAAGGATCTTAATTTAAGTTATTTGATTGCATAGATCTTAGTTTTACACTTTTAGTTTTGCTTTGTCTCATATCTTAACTATTTTTTTCTAATGACAATATGAGGTTATAAACAACAAGTCGTTTTTACATAGAAAGCCAACAACAAAAGTTAACATTTATCGGAATAAGAGAATGTTAGGAAGAAAATTAATCTAGCTAACCAAAATCTATACAAAAGAAAATGATAAAATAAAAGATGGTGGAGTGTGATAATAATTGAACTTAGTGTGGACACTTTCAATTTTTTTTTTTCCTCTTGCACTCATTTGTTTTTCTTTATTTTATTCACATTTAGTGATAATACGTATGTGGACTTATATGGAACACCAAATTTTTTTTTAATTGTATAGTGTGCTTCGTTCTTCTTCTTCTCTCTCTCTCAATCTCTTTCTTCTCTTCAATGCTCTCTTTCTCTCTCTAAGAAGCCATTTTTTCTCTTGCCAAGAAAAACCATAAGGTTTGTGTTTACCATCGTTTTCTCAAATCCATCAACACTTAGTTTCTTGTTCTTGTTTTAAAGTTTGTGGATTTAGTTATTCTTCTTGTTCCTTCTCTTTGATCTCTTATTTAATTATAAGATCCAAATCTTGAAATCTACGAGATGGGTATGTGTGTATATCTATAGATTTACGAGTAAAAGATCACTGTTTCCTCAAAGTCTTTTTTTTCTTCTTCCCGATCTTGGCTTTCATGTAGTTATGTTTTGGGTTCTTGATTTCAAGATTTTCAGATTTCTCTCCCCTCTGTGTAAATCTTAATCTAATCTCTTGTTGATTTCTCAGTTCTTAATCAATCTGCAGTCTTTTGTTGGCTGATCAAGAATCTACCTCGTTTCTTGATTTTTTTCTTCTTACAAATGTTTGTCTTTAAGTTTATGAACACCATATCTATCTATCTGTTTGTTTAAATTACTAGTTGAGTTCATCTTAACTTTTGTTCTATTATTGTATCTGGTAGCTTCTTCATCTATTTACGGATGTCTTAATCTACTTTTTCTTATGATTACTCAACATAAAATAAACTCTCTCGAATCAGATTGGAAACTGAAACTTTTTTTTGGCGTGCGAATAATTGTTCCTCTTTGTGAGATTTCACTTCATCAAATCAAAAAAAAAATAATTTTTACACACTAATCCTAATAACTTTAGTGTGACTTATTCCACATGAAATAATGTTCTTCTACTAAGAAGATCTTCAAATCTGAGAAACTATCTACTTGTGTTGTTTTTGCAGGAGTAAGATAAGAGTCAGATTTAGCTAGGTGATGATAAAGAAGATCTGGTGTTATGCAGAAGTATTTGGGAAACGAAGAGGCAAATAGTAACAGTGGAAGAATCAAATGTTCTTATCCACTGAGAACCCACCAAATGACCCACTTTCTTCTTCTTCTTCTCCTCCTTTCTTACATCTCCCCACTTCTTCCCATGAGTTAGGTCAATCCCATCTCTCCAATTTCTCCATCAGGTAAATTTTTTTAACCTTTCCTCTGAATCTATTTTCTTTCTTTTTCTTCTTCTGGGTTTCTTCGCCTATATGGTTTTGTCTCAAAAAAAAAAAAAGTCTCTGGATTTCATGATGGGTCAGTGTCAAATCATAGCTAGAGATCCAAAGTTTTAAGCTTTCTTCTTTGTAGTGATTAATGGGTCAGTTTTCAAAGTTTCTTTCTTCTTCCACCTTCTCTGATTTTGTATCAATAAAATCAACGTAGGGTTCCTTGTTCCTATACATAGCTCAGTATCATCAAACTTTGTTCCTTTAAAGTTTTAAGAATCTTTTATCTTTAGAGTTTTGAAAGTAATCAACTTTGTTGTGTTATGCTTTGCAGAGATTACGCATATAGTAACCGGAAGAACAACATCAAGAACAATTGGCCATTTTCCCCAAAAAGTCTCCAACTTTTTTCAACTCATGGCGTAACTGATCCTTTGCCACCGTTTCAGAAATTTTCCACCGTAAGTAACCAGTTTGAGACTTTGGCTAGTTCATCGTCTGGGAAGCAAATCGTATCCTATGTTCATCAAGGAAGAGATTTGGCTAAACTTGGGTTGAATCAGACATTAGCAGAGACTAGTAAAGGAGTTTGTAGCCAATCAAGAATCATCGAGAATGGTTTGTTTTCGAGTACAAGTGTTTCCAAGTCTGAAGTAGAGATAGCTGTAGCTGCTACAAGTAATAAGAAGGACAACCACAGTAAAAAGTGTGGAAGAGGGATGGTGAAATCTAAAGAAGATAGTTGTGGTGGCCTTGTGACGACTTCTGAATCAATAATGGCTTCAAAAACATGTCCTATTTGCAAAACCTTCTCATCAGCTTCTAACACAACTTTGAATGCTCACATCGACCAGTGTTTGTCTGTTGACTCAGCACTGCCACCGGTTGTCTGTAGTAAGCCAAACAAGCCTAGAACTAAGCCACGGGTGAAAGTTAAAACGATGGTTGATATCTACGCTTCTGCGAAAGAAGGCACATTAGAAGATCTTGATAAAAGAAATGGAACTAAGTGGGTGTCGATTTTGAGTTATACAAATAGAGTTGTTGCTGACAAGTCTGAAGTGTCTAAGAAGCGGAAAGTTTCGCCTGTTGGCGTTGGTCCGGTTTATATTGATGCTAAGGGCCAGAAGTTGCGGATTTTATCTGAGTTCAGCGAGAAGAAGAAGACTTCTACTACTCCGTTGAGAGAGCAGCACGAGGAAGGTAGTAGTGATAAGAAATGTTTAAACCAAGGTAGTAAAGGAACCAATAAATGCTTGAGGAAAATTCGTCGAGGAAAGAAACCTCATAAGTATGTTAAACTAACCAATCACAAAGCCAATGTTCCAGAGGTAATTCCATTGGTTGCTGTCAATAGTTTCTTTTTTGCATATTCATGGTTGATTTTTGTAGAAAGATCATAAAATAACAGTACATTGCTTTATACAGCAGATACCTGGAGATCAAAGAGGTTTTTCTGGAGAAGGTAGTCACACTGGTCATCGTAGAATCTATAATCAGCGGATGCTAGCAAAGCGTGGTCTGATTTCGAAGAAGCTAAATGAGAAAAGAGATGAGTTTTATAGTTTGCGGGATCAGCCATCTGAGGATGATGAAGATACATGGTCAGGAGGAGATCCTACTGTCTTGAGAGGTACTGATTTGTCTGCCACAGATTCTTATCCTTCAAATAAACAGAAGTTGGGAAGCGAAGTTGTTCGACGAAAAAAGACTTTGTTTGGGAGTAAAACTGCTCAAAGTCGTTCATTTAGAGTCCCTCAGAGTGAAAAAGAGGATGAGTCACTTGAGGGAGTTCAAATAAACTCTCTCCGATTAAAGAAGAACATTGCTTCATTTCAAGAAGATAAGTATCCACCTGGAAAGAATTTCTGCTCAGATGCTGTAGATGTTTCAGATGCATCTCCTCGTGGAACTAGCATGACTAGCATGAGAAAGTTTTCCCCACCTTTCGTACCAAATGCCTGGAGGCGACTATCTATGCCTGTGGAGCTAAATAAAGCTCGGTTGGATTTCTCGGAGGAAGAAGATGAAGAAGAAACAGGGAAATGGGAATCTGAAATGACTCAAGAACGTGAGCTGCCAGATGATAATTATGTGTCTGATGATAATGGAGAAAAAAATGAGGTCTTACTGAGATCAAATCCTTCATCTAGTGGTTATGATGATTATAATGATGATGACGAAGAAAGTAGTGAAGAGGAAGAAGCTAATAACAAAAGAGCTCATGTGTTGGACAAAACCGATGATATGGATGCTGAGTTCTACCAGTCAGACAGTCCACCATCTATTGAAATCTTACCCAGCGAGCGAGCAATGTATTACTCCGAAGTTGGGAATATGATTTACGGGCAAACCTCTTGCAAGGAGAATGAAAGGTTTGATTCTGTAGTTGGACAAGGAAGCTTATTTGTAGAGGTTGATACCATTCCCATTCCAGGACCTCCAGGATCGTTTTTACCAAGTCCTCGAGATATGGGTTTTGATGAGAATCTTGGGAACTCGTCGGTTATCACAAGCCAGGTTCAATCTTCCATGGATCAGCTTGACAGAAACTCATCTGAATCACCTGTTTCCGCTGTTTCAAACTTTGCAGCTGGTAGATTGAATTTTCCTGCTGAGTTATCTTCCTCTTTCCGAGAAAATTTCTCCCCGGATATTGCCGTGTCCTACTCGAAAACCCCGATGAGCTTTTGTGTTCCATCTCATCATGGGACAATCACCGAGGCTGAGCCAATTACCATTGACAAGACAACAGCACCTTCCAGATTTAGAAACAATGATCAAGAGTCTTGTTGTTGCCAAAGAAAAGAGAGAATCTCCGAGGGAATTACTTTAAATCATCAAGGATCTCACTTGCTGCAGCGAAGAGCAGCTTCTTCGTCAATCACCATGAATTTAACTAATTCACCCACTCGTTTGGATCCAAATCATCCATTTGAGCGGTCACCATACAAGATCCAACAAGATTTCGATCTTCAGAGTAAGTTCTCCAGCAGAACGAATCTCAACGCCGCTGTGCCTCCAAGTCCTTCTAACCCGGTTTTAAGGTTAATGGGAAAAGACTTGATGGTCATGAACCAAGGAGAAGCAGATGAAGAAGCATCCGGGTCTAGCTTAACACCAACCCCTCAGTTTGTTGATCCTCCTTGTGGTGGAACTGGCTTATACTTCAACACAGGTCTCTATTTAAGAAACAGTTTCGAGTCAACACAACAACCACAAGCCCAAACCCAACCACAACCACAAGCTGCAGCATTCAGAAACAATTTTGATCATGTAAGATACTTTTCTCCGAGCTAGTCACCGTAAAGTTTCGACCTTGATGCAGTGTAAGAAGCAACCGAGAAGTGGGTTCTCTTCGAAAACCGATCATCGAACATGGATGCATTGGGTTTTTAAGGTAGATTCCGAATGTTCTATGGTATTTTCTATGCTTCATCTCTTTCTGCAGAGACTGTGTAGTAGTTACTGTTTACAAAAAAAAAAGCAAACACTTGAAAATAACAAACACTCGGTAGAAGGATCAGTAACTTAAGGCTTTTATTGCCACCAAAGTTATAAACTTATAGTTTATCTTTTAACTTTGGCTATTGTCAATGTTTTAAATGGTAATAATATCCTTTTCTTCCACAAATTGCAGTGGAACTCAATCTTATAAAGCATCAAAGATGAGTAACTTTAGGCTTTTATTGCATGCAACCAAAATTGTCCAGAAGGTCAAAAGTTAGGGTAAAATCATGAACCTTAGACCAATATGGTTTAACTCGATTAAAATAAACAAAAACTAATTTTAAAATAGAATTGGTTATTGGTTAATCCAATTACGATTTGAAAGGTTTAGGGTTTATAATTATTTGTTAGATCAATTAAACTTCTAAAAATAACATAAATTATAATGTGTTGAGATTTGATTGGTTGGTGCAAAGAATAATGTAGTGGTTGACTAAAAAGTCGTTAAGCACACCTTTCTCTAATTACGGAGCCAGTCCCAGCTATATCCACGGGTGGTATTTCGGGTCGGGTCAAACCGGTCAACGAAATCGGAAAACTCGCCGGAAGAATATGACTCCGACGTCGGCGACAACAACGTACACATCAATTCCGATTCCTACCGGCGACGTCATCTCCCGATCAATCCATAATCTCACTTCCGCTATCTCTAGCCACCGTCCCTGGTCAGAACTCGTCTTCTCCGGCGATTTCTCTCTCCCGGAGAGATTCTCCTCTCTTCTCCTCCGATCAAAGACGAATTTCAACTACTTTTTCGTGAACTACACGATCGTCGTCGCCACTTTTGCAGCGTTCGCTCTCATCACAGCTAGTCCCGTCGCGTTAATCGTCGTCGGCGTAATCATCGCTTTGTGGCTTCTCTTTCACTTCTTCAGAGAAGATCCACTTATTCTCTGGAGCTTTCAGGTCGGTGATCGTACGGTGGTGTTGTTTCTAGTCTTGGCTTCCGTTTGGGCTATATGGTTCACTAGCTCCGCCGTGAATTTAGCGGTTGGTGTTAGCGTTGGCTTGCTATTGTGCATTATTCACTCTGTTCTTAGAAACTCCGACGAGCTTTTCCTTGAGGAAGCTGATGCTGTTAACGGAGGCTTGATCGGGTCTAATCTCCGGTGACATATGTTTAATTTTTATCATTTTTTAGTTCTTTGTTTGATTTATTGTGATTTGCGAATTTGAGTGTGATTTAAAATCTGATTACTTGTTTGTTTTTGTTTGATTAATTTCTTGTTTGATTGGTTCTCACAGTGAAGGAACCAACTTGCTCTATCCATTTTTCTTCACATGTTACTTCTGATTTTCAGATACAATGTATCAAGTCTTGCTTCAAGCTTCATTTTTGTCATGAAGCTTGAGACCAACTTGTTTAAAGTAGATCTTAAAGTCACAGCTCTTGACTGTTAGTTATTAGATACTAAAGAGAATTCAGGAATCCAAATGGCAGAAATTGAGTAGAATTCAATTTAATACCTTAATTATTTGCTTTTGTTTTGTTGGATTCTGACTAACTTGTGTTTAACCAAAACCAGATAAAACCTAAGCTCAATTTGTATGACAAGTCAGAATTTTTTAGTCCTTTGAAAAGGAAACAAAACTGAGCAGTGAACTCCGGGGACCAGTAACAGGAGAGGGGAGAGTGACACTTGTTGGCAAAACCCAGACACTGATTAAATTGCATGTTTACTACACACCCATACCTATTTTTCTGTGTTTGGTCCCAGCTTCTTACACGAGTTTTTGTCCTTATTCCAATTCTGTTTCTTACTGAGATTATGTTTATCTCTTTTGTTTGATTGGCTAACTTATCAGGTAAAGGTTTTGGCTTGAGAATTCAGTGCATTGAATGTTAGTTTCTGCTTGATGCTCTCTCTAGTTACACTCTATGAAGAACTCAATTTAAAAAGAGACTATGATCAATAACGAAGTTGGTAATGTACATACGAATAAGATTGTTCTAAAAAGGTTTAAAGTAGCCATTACATGATTTGATGTCTTCAACAAAACTGAGCTTAGAGTAATGTGGAAATAATAACCAGGAGAAATGTTTGTGTCTGTTTCATATCTTGCTTCTCATTCTGACTAACTTTGCTAGTGTTTCTTGAGCAGCCAATGTGAGATCATGGTTATGGCCAAGCATCACTGTCCTGATACTGATGCAAGTCCTGCAAAGTTCCTCTCCACTATCGAAATGCCCTCCTCGTAGCAGCAGCTTCGCTCTTGTCTCCAGTAATAAAGCTTTTAACAATGTAACATCCTGCCACACGTATTCATCGACTTTCTTGTTAGTCTTCTTCTTCCAACAGAGCGAGCCTTGGCGCCAATCTTGTATCTGAGACACAAATGATTTCTCCACTTCCTCTAACACGTTGGTGCATACTTTTAGAAGCTCCAGCGCGGAATTGCACCTCGAGAAGGTTGTGAAAGCTGTGATTGCTAAAGGAAGAGCTGTTCTCTTGATGTAAAGTACCATATCCATAGCTTGTAGTTGGACCAAAGGAGGTTCTGATTTGAATCCGAATACTAAGAAAGCTGAAGCCCATAGGTGATCAAGATTCAACAACGGGTTATCAATTTTCCTCACACCTTGAACTGTTGCCTTGGGTGCAAGTATGTAGTCTCGTCTCCTCGCGAAAGTTTGAGTTATCGGATGGAACTGAATCCAACATCCAGGTTGTCTATTTGTTATCCTCGCTAGTCCTAATCTGACTAGTAAAAATGCAGCATCCTCTTCGCTTCTGCGTCCCAAACCACAACCACCGCACCAAGCAAATGTGTGACTCAAACATTTGTTCCATTTGCTGAAGCGGTTTCCACCTGTGGGCATGTTCTTAGCTGCTGCAGCTAACAAGTTAACCGGAATAGGGACCGGAGCAAACCAAGCTCCCACGAGTAGCATTTTTAATGAGAGAAGGTTTCTGTTTCCCTCAGCTTGCTCCAAAACAGCCAAACTGAATGCTAAGACCTTTGCAGCAAATGGATTGGATTTGCAATATTGCTCATCATTTACGTTTAGAAAAGGCGATGCTGAACGTTCTTCGATTTGAACTTTGTTTACAGCTTCAAAGAGCGCAGAAGGCGGAATTGCAAGCTCTGAAAGCAATGATCCAACCACCCAAAGACCATAGCTCAACCGTCCCAGTTTCTCATCGAAAAGCTTGAGGACCTCAACCTCCTCCACCGGGTAATCTTTCTTTCTTCTTCCTCTCAGTAAAACCATTGCATCAGACGAAGGCAATACAGAAAGCTGCACAGTGTCAAAGGTCATTACTTTAGGAAGTCTAGTAGTGATCAAGACATGTGTTCCTCCGGTGTTCCTCGGAATCAGATCATTTAGATCTTTCCCTTCCCACCAATCCTTCTCTATCTCAAGATTATCAATGATCAACAGATAAGGCATGTCTCTGAATAACTCACGCTTTATTCTCTTGAAAGCTTCAAACTCTTGCTCATCAAAGCTCCTTAGTCTACCTCTATCCTTCTCAGCATCTGCACTAACATCAAGCCCCAAGCTGAATGACAGATTCAACAAGTTCTGTCTGAAGTATCGAGCTTCCCCTCCGACCCACAAAACCATCTTATATCTCTGAGAATACCGGTAAGCGAATTCAAGCGCTAACTCTGTCTTCCCAATCCCGGGAACTCCATTCACGCAAACAACACTTGTGCTACTTTTGCAGTTACTACTGTTTCTATATTTCTTAGTCTTCAACAGTCTTTTAAGCGAGTTTTTCCCACCGTTTGGATCACTCCAAGCCTCACTTCTTGGCTCTGAGCATTTCCCAAGCTCCAAGCTAATAAACTTCCCATTTCGAGTTGATACAACATCTGATTCCTCATCTGCAAGTCCTTCAGATTGTCCACTTGCTTCTCCTCTGGTGCTTGGTGTTGTAGACTCAAGATACTCTCCATTACCAAATAAAGCCATCTCCATTTCAGTTATCTCCTTCTCCCTTCCAAGAAAAGATCTGTTCCTTGGAAATGGAAGCTCATCAATCCCTTCCACTATCTCTTTATCAGCCACACTCTTCCTCCCAAGCTTTGCCCTGAGAATCGTCGCGGTCTTTCCCACACAGCTTCTCCAGTTACTCTCATTAGCTTCAAGTTTAAACTCATGTGACTTAATCAACCCATCAATGGCTTCTTTACACTCTTTATCTATGGCATTGCAGTTGAGAAGACCCATTATCTCAGAAGGTCCAGTTCCATAGAAAATCGGAATCAAGTTCTTCTTTTGAGCAAAGAACCTAACTTCCTCCAAGCTAAGGTAGTTGAGCAAGCTGGAACAAGAGACAACCACAATCCCATAAGTAACAGAACAAATAACTCTGTCGGCGATCTCATGACTCTGTGTGTCCGAATACTTAGCTCTGTCAGCAACGAAACAAGCGATACCCTGAAGCTCAAGCTCTGACTTTAACCATTTGCAGAATCTCACCAAGTTTGGGTTTTGTCCATGAAACCCAATAAAGACATCAGAGCTCCTCAGCTTGGTGTTAGTTGCAGGTGAAGAAACAGAGACTTTAGCCAGAGAAACCCTAGGAACAGGGAAAGAGAAAGAGATCCTTGGAGGAGCAGGATCTGGAGTACAAGCTGATAACTTGAGCTTCCGATCTGATGGTTGTTCATCAGAAAAGTCGTACTGGTCAGAAGGAGGAGTGTAGGAGCTGCTAGGTACATCTTCAGATTGTGAGCCTTTGTAAGAAAGAGGCGGTGATGGCTTGTGAGTGGTAATGGGTGTTGTAGCTCTTGGGGATATATAAGGAGATTGCAAAGCGGAAACAAAAGCAGAAGATGGTGGGGACACAAGAGAAGGTGAATTGAAAGGAGAGTTTTTGATACTTGGAGATGAATCTGAAGCATTGTTGTTATTTGCTTGAAGAAGATCTTTACCTTTCTTACTTGAAGAGCTTGCTGGTGATGAAGTTCTTATGGTTAATCCAACTAAACTTGCTTCTGCTTCTTCTTCTATTCCCTTCATTACTTCCTTTTACTTCCTCACCAAACACAAATTAAACTCAAATGAAAGCTCTCACCTCTCAGCTTCAAAGGGTGATGTCTTTATCTCTCTAACTTGGTATGAATCATTATGGTGTTTCTCTGACAGATGATATTGAAGTGAGTGGGACTGTGAGGAGATGAGTCAGAACATGAATGCAACAGTTGATGTAGTTCAAGGAGATTGAGGTAAAATCTGAGAAACTGCATGTGATGTATCTAACTCTTCCATTTTGTGGGGTCCTCTTTCTTCTTCTCAACACTGTTGAAACCCAATTTGTGTTTCTTTTCTCTTTATTTTATTTCTCCTTCCTCTCTTACTTCAGATTTGACCAACAACACCAAGCTAGTTTCAGAGTCTCTGCAACAATGAAGGTCACACGGGTCAGAAGAAAAAATCATTGCTTTACATTGAGTTGTGGTCTAATGTTCATCATCATCACCAAGATTGAATCTTTTTTCTATCTAGCTAGGACCAAAATAAAAAAAGCAACATCTTATTAGTCAAATCTTTAAAGATGATTTCTTAAAGACTTACCCTTTTGTTTGATCTTTTTCAGACACAAGGCAAAAAAAGACGTGTCACTTCCCCTGCATATTTTTTCATTACCAAGCCTCTCTCTCTTCTATCTTTCTTCTCTCTGTGCTTCAATGTGTGTTTCTTTTTGAGGAAGAGCAGATTGTGATAATGAAGAGGGAGAAGAATCTTGATTTGTGAGTTGGATCTGATAGTGCTTATGGAGATTAATTTTTTTTTTAAATAGTGATTAAAGAAATGGTTAAGAGAGAAGCAGCCTGGAGAGGGAGGGTTAATGTCTAAACATGTACCAATGTCATTTTATAATGATCACCCACTTAATCATAATTAACTTGATTTTATAATCTTGGATTCTCCTTTTTTCATGCTCTGTCTCTCTCTTTCTTCTCTCTCTGATTTTCTGGAAATTTTAAATGAGTTTTTGTTTCTTTAGTTTACCAAGAAGACTCGAGTGTTTTATTTAAGATCGAGTCATTTAGAGATATAAATCTAACATGGGTTACATGGAATTTAAAAGAGTTAAATAGAGAGACTCAGATTTAAGACATTGAACTTTGAGCTTAAAAGAGGTTGGATTGAAGAAAGGAAACCATTTTTCAATTTTCTCAGTACTTTGGTTGTTTGTCGTCTACTGTTTGTATTTTGTGGTGTATATATTTATTAATTTATAGAGAGTTTTTTTTAAAATTTTAAAAACTTGTTTAAAAAATATGAGAGAAAATAATTTGATCTAAATAAAAGTAATGCTTTGGATGTTATAACTTTGGTAGTTTTAGACTTAAATATTTAATATTTAGAAGAAAGACAATTTTTAAAAAACAATAACAACCAAGATTATATATAAATTCACATATACAAAAAATATGTAACATAATGACTTCAACTGTTGTATTTGAACGGTCTATACGATTATTCAAATAAAAATTATACTTATTTCAATTTTGAAAACTTACATAAGGTAGCTATTTTATGAATAGAAATTTATTTTTAAAAACTACTAAAAATATATTATCTTTATATATATATATATATATATATATGTAAATTCACATGATTATTAATTTATGATATTATTAGGACCATATTTTTACATAGAGATTTGAAAAAATTTATTATCTTATTATCTTATCAAATTTGGTTAATTTTTACACTGGCCCGACTTGGGACCGGCAAAATTTATTATTTTATCGTGTTTATTAATTTATCGAGTATTAATTTATAGAGGTTTAACTGTAGTAAAAAAGATGGATGTGGAAGCGTTTATCAAACGCTGAAGGATACGTATTGTTGTTTTCGGATCAAGAAAACGGCAACCACTGTATATACAAAAGATGTAAACGTTTAAAACCTAGAAGAAGTTATCGAGGGTAAATTAGTCAATTGCATGAGATCATATTAATTCCTAACGGTATATCTCACACCGTTGAATTTTAGATCCGACCAGATAAGATCACGTCGAATCTAACGGTCATAAAACATCTGAGTCGTTGGTGAAGTAGCCAGCGGTTTCGCCACGTGTCCCGACCAAGTCGCTCACACGTTCGTATATTCTCTAAATTCAAAAAAAAAAAAAAGGAAACAAATCAAATTTTGTGATCGTGACCGGGAAGAAGATTTTTAACGATTTTTCGCAGCGAAAGTTTCCACAATCAACGGAGAAGATCGGCGAATCGTTTAATCGAATTTAGGGTTTTGATCTCTCTGTAAAGGAATCACCTTTAGGGGTTTTTGCGTTCCATTTTAGGTACGTCAAGCTCCAACATTTCGGTTCAATTCGTGCCTGTTCTATGTTGGATTTGATTTTTCCAATCATTGGGTCTCTTAAATGTGATCACTTTCTGTTGAATTTGACGTATTATTGAATTTAGAGAGACTTGATTTGATTTTTTTTTTCTGGGTTTTGTTTTGTATTTTGGTTTTATTGAATTTTCCTCTGGTTCCTACTGGAATGTTGGTTTCTGCTCTTGAGATTGATCCCGTGTGAATTTGTACCCTCAGTCATGAATTTGGAGATTGAAAGCTCTGTTCTTGAATCTGTTGAGGATAATAATGGTTTGATTGGTGAAGTTGAGACTATTGGGGATAAAATGGTCTCTGCTTCTTCTACTGATCTTGATAAAGAGTCGAATTCACCGGTTGAGACTTCTCCTCTTATTTCAAAGGGATTTGGTTTAAGAAAATGGAAGAGGAGAATAAGGAGAGATCTTGTTAAGGATGATACTTCTGTGAATATGGAGAACAGTAAAGTTCTGAAGAGGGTGTTGTCGGGATTAGTTGATCCGAATGCTAAACAAATGCATTTGCCGGGACCTGATGATAGACAAGATAGTGTTGGTTCGGTTGGATCGGTGAATAGTGTGGTTGGTTTTGCAATAGGTGGGGATAGTCATGGCAATGGTCTTGCTTTTGCAGCTGGTGTGGATTCGGATAATAGTGAGGATTGGAGTAGTAAATCCTCGACTGCAGCCAGCGGTACCAAGGGTAGGTACGAGAGTACAGTGGGTCATTCTTGGGACAAACATAGAGGGAAGTATTCGGGTGGGAAGAGTGTGATTAGTTCGGGTGATAGTAGTCAACAGAGGAAGAGTAATGTAGACAAGAGTAAGAAACTTAGAGGAGAAAGGATCAAAATTGAGAAGGAAAACTCTCATTCCAGTATGGAATCTGCTGACTCAAGAAGCTCCAACTTTGTGTTTATGCAGGGTGCTTCCTATAGTTTGAGTAGCAGAGAACAGGGCGGAAGAAGAATGATGGATTACGACGAAGAAAATAGTGATCATGACGCACATACTTCGAACAGAAAGGATAACGTGGGAGACGAAGAAGAAGAAGGAACCGAAGATTATTCACAAGGAGACTCTGTTGAAGAGTCCCAAAGTAAGAACAATGGTTCATCAGACAATCTGGATCCATTAATAGTGGCCTTCAACAGTTTCCAGACTTTGCAAGAAGCCCTCCAAAAAGGTATCAATTTCATAATACGATTTTTCATTTGTAAAATGATGGTTGATGCATTGTACTAGTCCTGATCAACTAAAACTTGAATGGTTCTAACACTGGTTCCTTATAATCGTGTGTAATATTAACATGATTGTGTATCGAGTTTAACTGAACTTCTGTTCTTTTTCGATTTGCAGAACTTCAAAAATTCCAAGAGCTTGGGAAAGAACCTATAACATCACTACATGATGGAGGAGAAAGTAGCAGTTGCGTACATGCTGGACACGAACGAGCTAGTGAAGTAAGCTCTTCGCACCGGTTTGGGTCTGAAAAGATGGGAGAAACGGGATTAACTTCTCTAGATTCCGAGATACTAAACCTGGTGAACAATGTAGAGCATCTGGAGATCAAACTAGAAGAAGCAAAGAGTATTCTAAAGGTTAAAGAAACACAAATACGTGAACTCGAATCTACCATAAGCGTTTCAAAGACGCATAATGGAGGAACAGAGATCGGGATCGAAGAAATCTTCCAGCAAAAGATGGAGGCAGAGATTGAATATATCATATTCTCAAGATCAGTGGGAAACCTAAAGAAACGGATCAAACTGATTGAAGAAGAGAAGACATTGGGGCTATCAAAGCTTGAGAAAGCAGAAACAAAAGCTGAGAATCTAAAGAATCAAGCTCAAGATTTACAAAACCATTGTGTAGAGATCACAGAGATTCAAGAAGTGGAGTGCTTGAAGAAGAGAGTATCTAAGACCACTAGATGTCTTCTTCTACAGTTAGGCTTGCTTTTTATGCTGTATTACTTCCTGTTGCCAGAGTCGGAGAATGTTGTTCCCACATGATAGTTTTGTTTGATGGAATCTGTTTTTATTTCTCTTGTATTTATATATATTGTAACATTTTTGGCTCCAATAGACCAACTCTTCTTTGCTTCTTCTATGTTTTTCTGTGTGCTACAATGACATGACGTCAGTGTGTATGTATAAATTGTTGCCTTTGTCAACTTTGCCATCGTTTTCCACAAGTTCTTTAGTAAATAAGAAATAGAAGATAAGATATTTAAACACACAAGTGAAAAAAAGTTTACACATTCACATGAAATGAAAATTTGCACATAACCTTTAAATAATTTGAGTCGGTCTTAATATATATTCATATTTCATTCTAAGCTCTTAAGAATTTATAAATAAGAAAAATTCAATATAGTTGTGTTAATATTGTCTAGTGTGTTGTTTGTGATGACACATAGAAGTGGTCTTATGTCATTAGCTGCAACTGGAGACTTTTGACAATTTGACTATAAACAGCCATCTTAATGTTGGTTTGTTCCAACAACACTTAACAATGCCCACGTCTTGAAGAGTTTTAGATTTGCAAACCAATAATCAATTTGATCATTATACTTTAAAATAAAATAAAATTTATGATTCATCTTAGACTCACTCATAGGTGTCTTAATGTGATGATCTTTGGATTTGTAAACATCCATATCATTTACAATTTTGGACCTACCATAGTTTGGTCTCTTTTCTTAGTGTAATAGAATTACATTTACATATAGAGATTTGATTTTTTCTTTCTATCTACTTAGCTCAGCTAGCTGTTGGTGTGTTTCAAATCTCAAATTTGGGGTATGTAACAACTTGAACTAAAATAGAGCATAGCATTTTTTAGTGGAAATTAAATTTGTACATGGTCTTGCTTAGAGATCCACTATTCTACAAACATAGACTAAGAAAATGTCAATTTTGCTTGTCCTAGAGTTCGGTATTTCAATTAAATAGAGCAACTTCTAATATTTTATCATCAATTTGTCTTCATAAATTTATGGAGAAACCATTTGTTTGAAAAAAGAAAAGAAAGATAAGATAGTGAAATGAATAAGATGGTTTTACTTTATGGAACTTTGGTCAATTAAACTATCACGCTTTATGTGAATCCAAAAGCATAATAAAAGAAAGAAAGAAACATAACAAAGCTTGAGAGAAGAAAACAAAAGAGTAAATGTATCCTTTCATCAAATCAAATTAACAAAAGACCCCACCAAATTAAGATTAAAAGTACCATAAGAACCCAAAATCAAAATATCTTTCTCTCTTTCTTCTTCATACTACAATGTCAACAACTCCTTTTTACCATCATTACCTCCTAATTTAATAAGTTTTTTTCTCTCTCTTTTTTTTCTTTTTTTTTGTTTTAAAGTTAAAAGCTTACTTGCTTGCATATATACGTCTCTTAGACTCTTTCTTCTTCTTCTATTCTTCTTCTTCGTTAGGTGGCAACTCATTCAAGTCAAACTCCAAAATCTTTCTCTTCAATTTCTTCACCTCTTGCACTCTCTCTGTTACCTGACTAGAAGCGGCTCCTGCAGGAGCAGTTGGAGCAGAGGTTGGAGCCGCGGTTGCAGCCTCAGTAGAAACTGGTCCAGTCCAATGACATCTCTTGTGACCTCCAAGAGCTTGACCTGTTGAAAAGCTTTTATGACATATATTACAAACATGATCTCCATTATGACTACTGCTTAAAGATGTGTTTGATCCTTGAGCACTAGCTAAACCGGTTGTTATTGCTTCAGTTCCAAGTAATGAAGCTTCAGCGTTTGCCCTAGCTTGATGATTCTCCAATATCTTGACCTTGTTGTGACTTGCTCTATGACCTCCTAAAGCTTGATAAGAACTAAACGATTTGTTGCAAGTCACACACACGTGCTTCTCACGTGCACCGGCACCACCACCTTCCTCAGCTGCTACAACAACCTGATCAACCTGAGTAGATGTTGATTCTTTTTCCATCTCAGACAATCTTTTCTGCTTCTTCTTCCTCTTCTTGACCAATTCCAGATATTTTTCCTCAACGGAATGCGAAACAGAAGTCTCTGCAACATTAAGATTAGCAGCTGCTTCTGCAGTAGTAGCTAAGAACAATAGACCATTAGCATCATCAATATCCTTCACATCTTCCGGTGATTGATCCTTCAAATCCAATTCATCAAACTTCAAAGCACTTCTACTTCCTGATCTCTTCCCTTTTGTTGACCATCCTTTAATCGGTTCAACAACGTTTTCCAATTCCAAATTACTGTCCCATAACTCCGAGTTCTCATCATCATCATCATCATCAAAATCATCATCATCATAATCCGAGCTTATAAACTCATCATCATGATGATCATCAATAGAGAGTGTAGAAGACGATGAATTACCAAGTGGATGAGGAAGAGGAGGAGGAGGAGGCAAAACTCCTTTCCAACCTCTGTCCGGATGAAACCTCATGTGTCCATATAAAGCCTTCATTGATGTAAACTTCTTGTAACAAACACAACAAGCCACTTCTAAGTCACCTCTTTCAGATCTACCGACCATACCAGACACCATCTTTGGTCTCATCATTGAGAATTTACGAGTTTCGAGCGCATGAATCCGTTTATGACCTCCTAAAGCTTTACCTGACACAAACCTTTTACCACATTCACCACATATATGCTTCTTCTCTTCTTCTTCTTCTACTTCTTCCACATCTCCTTCCTCTAGATCCATACTCTTAGCTCCATGATCATCTTCTTCTTCTTCCTCGAGAGCTTCTTCATCTTCGTCTCTCTCTTTACCTTTGTCAGCTATACAAGGTTGGATCCTTGGGATTTTAACCTTCATAGATCCAAATCTCGGTTTCCCAAGTGAGAATCCACAGTTTGTTTTGTAACCTCGTAAGTGTTCCATCGCCTTTGAAGCTTGAATCCACACAAAAGCCAAGCTCTGATCAAAGCTAAAACAGATCTATCAGCTGATAAGACTAGGGCTTCTCCTTGACAAATACAACTTAGTGAAGAACACAATCTCTTTAAGCTCTCTCAAACTCAACAAAATCTCAAAGCTATGAAAATCTAAAAAGCAAGAGAAGAGAAGTTTAAGAAGAAGAAGAAGAGGCAATAGAGAGAAAATAAGAAGAGGCTATAGGCATAAGAGTGAGGAAGAGTCTGTATTGTGCCTCACGTTTTTGGATGAATAGTCTCTATTTATTTATTCACAATATATATATAGATAAAAACAACCTTTTTTATTTAAGTTATTATAATTAAATGTTTTTAGTTCTTTTTAGCCACTTAGTTACTTACCAAACCATACAAGATATAACTTTAATTTCATTTACTTAAGGTTTTGTTTGACTGTTTGTTTTGTTTTTACAAAACGCAATTGCTAAGTCTTTGACTAGTAAACACTTTTTTATGGTAATTTTGTAAAGCAAAGACTATTATTAGTCTTTGGTAATTTTACTTTTTTTTTGTTATAATAATGTTTCCATATTTTTTCCTTTGGGTAGATTCAAAGGGTATATTTATGATTGATTCAGTTTCCTAACATATGGAAACGCCAAACGTGGTTTTTGGTGTTTCTAAGCATAAAGTTGAGTTCACGTTTTGGTTTAGAACCAAACACGTCGTAATCGATCGTGCTTTAGGGAATAGTAAAGGCTAAATAGGTGATTAATTGCTATTTATCTTTTCGTGGGCATTGCAATTTATGGCAAATAAAATCAAGATTTTATTTAAAGACCAAAAGATAATAAAATTAAGATTTTATTTGGATTTTCATTTTTTTATTTATTGTTGAGATATCTCCTTGCATCAAAAGAAAATCTTTTTAGTAAGATTCAAAAGATTTTGTTAGTAACACATAACAAATAAATTGTTTGGATACTTATCCAAATTTGTAATTAAATCTTCAAAAATTAGGTTTCTTAAAAAATATAGTCCCAAGTATCAAGATTTTCCCTAAATCCAGGTTAAATTTATTTGAGTATCCAGAGAGAAGGTCTATACATGGACTGCATCTCCCCCAAAGATTAGTCTGGGTCCCTCCATACATCTAGATCTACTATGAGTTAAGAAAAAAAAAATCAGATAAAGTTTCAATTTAGACTTTTAGTTATCTAAAGTATTTTTTACTACTAAGAAAATATTCACCTGTCAAAATAAAAAAAAAACAGAACAATCCAACTAAATCATAAGAGGTCTAATAAATATATATTTCCCAAAAAATCATATTTCATATCTATTTTCTAATTTCTTAATCATTTTATCATATGTTCTTCTCTTTTCTATTTGACCTTTTAAACCTATTCAAATAATAAAATATCATTTTCCTTATTATATATGACTTTCCATCTCTTCTTTTCTATATTTAATAAAATAAAAGTTGTATTACAAACACATGCAAAAGTGTATTAACTACTAGATATGTACATATATTACACAATCTCAAGAATACTCTCTAATAGTAAATCGAGTCATTTTTTAGTAAAAAAACATCAAATCTATTTTCATAATAAAATATTTATTTTTTTTGTATATTATTTTTGGAATCTTTAGTTAGAAACTAGAGGGCCGATTAGAAATTGTTAAATGTTTTTACAGTCTTAACAGTGTGATCCCAATCACCTCCTAGATTAGTTCCTTATAAAAAAATACTAACAAGAGATTACATAAAATTTTGTACCAAATTAAAGAGCTGAGAATTAGTGGCCAAAAACTTAGTAGTGGTCTAGTGGAGGGCCACTCCTACTAGTCAATAGTCATAGAGATTTAGGCTTAATTAAAACAATAAAAATAAAAAGGAGGATCATATAAGTTAAGTAGTTAACGAATTCAAAATAAATCCTCTATATAATCAATGTTAGCTTAACAACTTGTAGTAGATGTGGAGTGATTTCATTTGCATTGAACTGCAAAAAAGATGGAATCAGTGAAATCACAGAGCTAATTAGTTTTATACAAATCGACTTAAGACCTAATTCTGTGTATATATATAACACACATTTTTGTATCAAATCTAACAAACACATACAAATAATGTAAAATCAATCGATGCTTAGGCCATAAATTACAAATTACTATTAAGAGAATATTGTTGTAACGATATGCAACTGATGCTTCGGCCATAAATTATGGGCCAAAATATATCTCTTCTCATTTTTTGGTTAAAAATCTTCTAACCAAAGTTGACAAAAAAAAAAAATCTTTTAACCAAATCTAGAAGATATTCGAAGGGATTGAGTTTTTGATTTATGATCCCAAGACAAATTCCCAAGTTCATGGAAAATGTACATTTTTAAAAGCACAACAAATTACACAAATGAACAGCTTATGAATCGAACCATGGTCTCTCTTTTTTCTCTTTGTGGGTATGATTATGAAACCTAACCAAGACGGCATATAATAGATTACTTTTATGTAAGTTTTTTTTAGGCTTAAGCTTAAATTTCCATCAAAGTAATGAATCGAGATAAGTGTAGTCTCTGGTTCGACCATACTCCAAGAGACTTCCATAAGTCCGGTCCCAAACACCGATGAAGAGAGATTCAGTATCTGGACTAAACGAAATCCCAGATATCTCTCCAAAGAAATCAATCTCTTGCTCCTTTTTGTAGCCTGCTTTTATGTCATAGATATGGACAAAATCTGCTGGCTCGGCCATTGCAACGTACCGTCCGTCAGATGTGAACCTAATGGATCGTACGGCTCCGAGGTTACCTTTTAGGACAGCGACTGATTCTGAGAGTTTCCTTGTGTCCCAAATACGACAGGTCTTGTCTTGGTTTCCTGTGGCAAATGTTACACCATTTGGATGCCAAGCTGATGCAAATGAATAATCTAAGTGACCTTTTAGCGTCCCGATTGTCTGAAACAAAACTCAAAACCATAAGGCTCCAAGACCTAACCACAGTAAAATAGATGGTGCCGGGAAGAAGAATGTTAAGTACCCGTCCGTTGCTTGCGTCTACCAGTAGACCATCTGGGTCATCTCCAACGACTGCTACTAGTTTCCCATCAGGACTTAGGGAGCTATGCTGTTAAAATTTCCAAACCAAATTTGTTAGATTCTAACTTTGTGAGATTGAGTTTTAATTAGCTGCAGATAGCTGCAAAAATGAGAAACTAAGTGAGCTTACATTGACGGGCCATAGATAACGGACGAGTTGGACAAGCTGATATCTCTCCATGTCAAAGTCTCTGACTCCACAGTCATTATTTGAGGCCATGAAATGAAGTGCGCCGCTAAATAATACCATATAACTAGTTTCAGTTTCTGTTCGCCATATCGACTAACCTTGGACGTTGAAAACCAAATTTATTATGAAACCCAAGAAATACCTGGAGTTTCTATATATATCTACTGCATTGGTGATAGCGTTTTCGGTATAAGTTGTGCGTGAGCAGAAGCTCACACCAGGTCTATCGAGATGCTGGTTGCAAGGGAAAAAAACACAAAATTAGAACATGAATAAGCAACTTCTTTGGCATCTTAAATCAATGGAAAGAGACTTCATAGCAGTTGGTGGAAACACTGCGGTTTGCTCTCATCCTCAATATCCATTTTCAAAGCCTCTAAACTAACCTTGCAAATGATTTCTCCTTGAAATCCACCAGCAACTAGCAGCCTTTCTTTTACTGCAAGAGTGCTAACTTGAGTCTCTGTAAATCCTTCCAACAGACTCTCAGGATGTTTCTGAAAGATATGGAACATCAGCTTTACATAAACCCAGCAGAGACAAAAGGAAATCACGAGTCAAATTAATTAGATGGTTTAGATAAGACTTAAGTAACAAACCTCAGACGGAGCCACATGACCTTTAACGTTAAGAATTTCATTCCTACAACCTGTCAAAGAAGACCAGTGGCTGATGGAGTAGTTGGACAATAGATAAACATCATGTTTTGAGGTAGCCCAGACCAAATTCCTCAACTGCAACAATGCAGAAAACATAATTTAGTCTAACTATGATCAGCTTTCAATGAAACTGTAATTCCATCAGCAATACTAGCACAGAGAAGGTCTACATTTGAATTTCCACAAAATTGTTGGAAGCATAACAGAGACAGGGGTTAAGTAGTGCAGTAGGCAAACCTGAAAATGGAGAATTGTTGATCTCACGGATCTAGAATTCCTCCTGAACTCATAAAAAGAGCTGCCTTTCTCAGTATTCATACATTTCTGGTTCCAGTAGACAAGACTAGAGTAAGAAAATATCAACATAGGTACATCTCCTAGTAAATAACCTTAAAAGAAACATGAAATGTAATTCACCTTGGCAGATTCCTCGCCCGAATTGGGTATATTTTCATAGTTTTTATACTGTTCTAGCCTAGTTTTTCGGTACTCTTTTCTAGTAATGTTAAGTCTATCCCACGGTATACCCTGAATATCCTTCCCATTTCGCGCTTGTGCAGCAGAAGTATCTGCAGCCTTGTTCTGAAAATACTCCATTGTGTGTTAAGAAGAATATACAGAGAACACACAACTGAAGAGTATGAGAAAACAGAGGAAGAACACAGACCAATTGGTCGAAATCTTCGACTTCAGAATCAGAAGCATCGATATCTCTTCCATCAAACTCGGCATTCATATCATCCTCGAGATCATCCATATCATACTCATCAGCCATATATTCATCTTCAAGATCATCACCATTGCAATCAGACATGGTGAGATCAAATCAATCACAGAGATGATGATGAAACAACTTCCATTAAACAAAGGGAAACAGAACAAACCAAAGTCAGCCATATCTTGACCTCCAATATAAATTAGCCAGTTCCACCTTCCAAAAACCCTGCAATATAATAAAATCACAACCATGCAAATTCATGAATTCAGCTATAATCAAAATTCACAAATCAATTAAAAAAAACATAGTTGCAAACATAAAAACAATTTAGAGCTCATATTATATTAGAATCCTCCATGAAAATACAGGTTCTTAATTCTAAATTACTCTTACCCCAAAATTCACTTCTCCATAAATCTGAATTTTCGAGAAAATTCAATAAAATTGCAAACGCAAAAAAAATGAATAAACCCTAAAAAGCCAAAACAAAAATCAATATTATTTGATCTCATGGACTAAAACCCTATGTTTGAAACATGAAAAAAAGGATAATTGACTGGATTAGATCCTCTTCTCAGACCCAGAAAACCCTAATATTAGTGGTTTCGAGAAAGAGAGGTTTCACCAGAAAAAATAAATAAAAATGAGAATTAATTTTAAATAAAGTGAGGAAAATCGAATACCAAATCTGAAAACTGGGTTGAGAATTGACGCGATTTAGGTAATCACCGGATCTGAGGATCCAATTTATGTACACAGCTTCTCAAAAAAAAATCTAGGCTCCATATATAAAAAAGTTAGTTAATCATTTTGCATCATATACTCTAAACGTCAACTATTTAGTAGCCAATATCTAGTAGCCACGTGTCAACTTCATCATCGAATTATTTATTTTTGTCTTTTTTTTTTAACAAATGAATTATTTATTTTTGTCAAATTGATTTTAGATAAAAAAAATTTTAACCCAATTCACACCTAGATCTCTACAAAATACTGGACCGGAATTAAGAGGTACCGAACCAAACCGAAATAAATATCCGAACATGACCTAGATTCTCTCATTCTTATATGCGTATATCGATACAAAATTCGAAACAAATGGAATGGGTATCCAAACATGCTCAAAATATAAATATATATCCAAAAATTAGTATATTTATTTTTCTTGGTATTTTGAATAGATTTGAATATATTTTGATTTACAAGTTTTCTAGGTATTTTTGGATAGTATAATATAATTTTATGGATATTTTAATTATATTTGGATAATAAGTCATCAATCCGAATAGTATGCGAAAAAGTTTTGGTATATATATCTAAATAACATAAATCTCAAGACCCGAAAACCTAATTTGAATGGATCCGATCCGAATAAAATGAACAAACCTAGTAACAACACTCTCATTCTTAAAGAGGAACCAAACGATCAGGCCTAGTAACAACACTCTTATTCTTAAAGAGGAACCAAACGATCAGGCCTAGTAAGACCACTCTTAAAGGGAGGTAGACTGATCTCATAACAAAATAACAAAATTTGGTCAGTGAATTACAAAATTTGATGTAAACAAAAAATAAAATAATATATAAGTGGATTTTTTTCTTAAAATTGAGCACGAGATCTTGACCACTTCGAATTTTTTTCCCACTTCGAATTTTTTTCCCACTGGGCTCACAAAATATCGTTATGATGATTGACATTAGTGAGTCGGTACGAAAATCCTTCCGCGCTATTAGACACGTGTCATTATCTTAAACAGTCCACGTCACAACTCACAACATTTCGATTTAATAATAAAAAGAAGAAAAGTAAAAAAACGCCGTGTTATCAAAATTTTCCTGATTCGTTTTCTCGGGAAAATTTCTGATTTTCTTCTCCGAAACCACCAATTCGACGATGATTCTGAGGAAAGTATGGGGATCGGTGTGGAACCGATCGAATAGTGGCAAGGATTTGGTGAGTCATCAGAGAGCGATGAATCATGTTCCTCCTCCTCTGTTGTTGTCTTCTTCTTCGTCTCTTGGTGCGTTTGATCAGCTACCAATGGATATTCTAGTTCAGATATTGATGATGATGGAGCCAAGAGATGCTGTGAAATTAGGCTTAACTTGCAAAGCCTGGAAATGTGTAGCTGGTGGTAATCGTCTTTGGATATTTTATCTCCAGTGTTCTCAAGAGCCATGGGACTCCATTTTCTTCGCTGAAACTAGTTTGCGTTCTGGTTATCCTCTCCGGTTAGTTTTGCCAGTTTTTACTTTGATCGATAGAGAAATAACACTGTAGATTAGATAATTCAAGGTTTAATGATTTTTGCAGAATGATTTCTAGTCAATCAGGAGAGTTGTCGTTTATGCACATTTATAGTCAGAGGGCACAAGTTCCTGGTTCTATCATTATCGATGGTATGCTTCGTGTTTTTGCATAGTAATTTCATATGAAGAATATTACATTTTTTATATATGTGTTGTCATGAAGGTGGTTCTGGATATTGTAAGTTTGGTTGGAGCAAGTATGCTTCACCTTCTGGACGTTCTGCTACTTTTTTGGTGAGATAATTGTTGTACTAAAGCAGTTCATTTTTATGATTACAAAGATAATAAGCTTGCTTGCGTCTTCTCTCTTGCAACACAAGATAGTTCTTACTAGTTTGATCGATCGTCAGGAATTTGGTAACATTGAGTCGCCCATATATGCTAGACTTCAACAGTTCTTTGCTACCATTTTCACCAGGTTTGTTTGAGTGATAGATGAATGATTTTAGTATATGGCTTTCGCTTTCCCGATTTCATGTGGATAGTTTTTTTACAGGATGCAGGTGAAGCCCTCTATGCAGCCAATAGTGGTATCACTACCTCTCTGCCATTTTGATGGTTAGCTACTGTTATTATACATGTTTATCTTTAGGATTACATTTCGTGGTTCCAGTTTTACCGTTAAATTAAATTTTTGTTATCAGATACTGAATCGGCCAGGGCATCAAGGCGGCAACTCAAGACTGCTATCCTCAATGTCTTGTTTGACATGAATGTTCCTGCAGTGTGTGCAGTTAATCAGGCGAGCCTTGTTCACACTTTGGTGCTTTCTGATGACTATTGCTCTAAAATATTAGAACTCTGGCATTGAAATTGCAGAGTAGTGTTTTTTTTTTCTCAGAGAGATTTTTAGCCATATCTGAAGCTACATTTTCCACGGTTTAAACCACTAGGCCAGTACATTTAATAGATTTTATTGGCGAAAAAATGATTTTGGGGGATTTGATACATTATCTCACCATTAACTAGAGATGGTGTAACTAAGGTTATGCACTCCTTGTCAAATGATTGGTTATGTTACTATTACAGTCATAGGCAGATTATGAATAATCTGTGCTCTATTTTCAGGCTGTGTTAGCTCTATATGCAGCACGGCGGACATCTGGAATTGTTGTCAACATTGGTTTCCAAGTCATCACCATTCTTCCAAGTAAGCTGTTTCTCTCTACAATTCAACTCTTTTTGTATCTTATCAGATGTTGTTTAACAGCATGGTAAGCTTTCTAGCTTTAGTCACTCATGATGTGATTCTTTTTGTGGAACTCAAGTCGATGAAATATGAAAATGTTAACATTTCAATTTGCTGAAAAAAATCCTCGTGTATCTCTCTGATTCTTTCTGCACCATTAACTGCTGTCTTAACAATTTACTTTTGCCGGGTGTTCTGCAGTTTTGCATGGTAAGGTGATGCGCCAGGTAGGTGTAGAAGTCATTAGTTTTGGAGCATTGAAACTCACGGGCTTCCTTAAGGAGAAGATGCAAGAGAACAACATTTCCTTTCAATCACTCTACACTGTTCGTACTCTTAAAGAGGTATTACCCTTGACCAATAATTCTCCGCAAATAACTTTGTAGGTTTCCATTCTAAATACATCTTCCGTAAAATACACATATGATATACTACCACACACAAGCCATCAAACCCAATGTGTTCATAGCGCCTTTTGAACTTCAACCAGCTTTATATAATTTACCGAGATAATCCTTGAAGGCGTTGGATATGTGCAACTCATGCACAAGCATATTAGTTCATAGCACGTTATATTGGAAGTTACTGAGTTTAGTTCTCTGTATATGATGCTTTTCTTGTTGTTTTGCGAATGTAGAAACTGTGTTATGTGGCTCTTGATTATAAAGCTGAACTTTCAAAAGACACACAAGCTTCAGTGGAAGTTTCAGGTGAAGGATGGTTTACTTTGTCAAAGGAGCGTTTCCAAACAGGGGAGATATTATTCCAACCACGTCTCGCTGGAATGTAAGACCTGCACTACTTATTACCATAACAGAAAATCTTGACGGCTCTCTTAAGAGATTTGATCTAATTAGCTCTGAAACTAAAAATGATATCATCTGATTATATAGTAGCGAAACTTCGTTTATAAGCTCCACGATTTTCCTCATGACTCGTATATTACACAATTGTAATACTGTAAGCTGCATGCATATCGGGGCTGGGCTATTTTCCTGTGAAGAGCCTCCAAATTTTTGGCCAATTATAATTTAGTTTTGGATTGGTTTTTGTCTTCACCAAAACAGGCGTGCAATGAGTCTGCACCAGGCAGTCTCGCTCTGTATGGACCACTGTGATGCAGCGGGACTTACAGGTGACGATAGTTGGTTCAAGACGGTAGTACTAACTGGGGGAAGCGCGTGTTTGCCTGGACTCGCAGGTTCAATTACTATTAGCTCTTTACTTGGAAATAATCAAATACTTATTGCATACGACTTGAACGTTGACACTTGATCTAAAAGATACATCAATGACGTGTGTATCCAGAGAGGCTAGAGAGAGAACTGCATGAACACCTTCCTTCATCTATAAGCAATGGAGTCAGAGTAATCCCTCCTCCTTGTGGCGTGGACACATCATGGCATGGGGCAAAGCTTATCAGTAACGTAAGTGGTATTAGTGATTATTTTTCATTCATATTCATGAACCTATTAGTAAATGAGACAACAGATTATTTCTGGAGTGCTACTATCTGAAATCTACCTTTGATACTATATACATGTTGGACACATTTGGTGAAATAAGCAGTGTGAGAATAAAGATTCATAAACTCACCTTTACGCACTTCAATTCTGTACCAGACATTTATTCGAAGCTTGTTCTCTAGATTAATTTAACATAGTGCAGTCTCGTGAACTTAGCCTCACACAATTGCGGTTGTTCTGATTACTATACGCAGTTGAGCACCTTTCCTGGTCCTTGGTGTATCACAAGGAAGCAGTTCCGCCGCAAGTCAAGACTCATGTGGTGAATCTCTCAGCCTTTTTTTTTTCTTTTCCTACCATCGCGAAGACAGAGTGAGAGGCAGGGTACAGTTGTTCTAAGGTACTTTTTGCAAGTCTTTAGATAAGGACGTATATGTATAGTGTCATACTTGATTATACTCAAAAGCCATAAACAGCAAACAATTGGTGAAAACCTCTTTAATTACATACGGTATTTAAGAGAGATTGTTGAAACTCTTGGTGATTAATATATATACTAATCATTTCACTATCTTCTAGTTACAGTATTTACTATGTACTTCATTGGGGTCGATCAATATAAGAAGAAAAAATAATACGCACAAAAGCCATCACAAATTATCATTTAGAATTTTTTTGAACTCCCTAATAACAAAAGAATGAGATAGTTCAAACAGTAAAACAAATCGTGGATATACATACATTCTCTTCCTCAGGTTGTTACAAGATCATTGCAGAAATCCGGCTTTTTCAGCCTCAGAACAACTTAATAAAAACCAATAGAGCTGCGGAAATGGTCAGCCAAAGACGGGACGAAGAGGTAGTTGCTGCGTTTACGTCTGATGTTGATTGTGCAGGCAACTGGGATCCGGCAGGGCACTCGAGACCTTCTTTACCTTCTTTGCACTGGTTAGCGAAAAGTCCAGGCGGGTATTTTCCATAGAGATTGATGTAACTGAACATAGTGGTTGCACAATCTGAGCTAAGGTCGTTGAGCTGGTCAGTGTAAGGACACGCAAAGTCCTTGAAGGCGCCGCAGCATTCCTTTGGTGGGTATTTGGGACCTTTGCATTTGCTGGTTATGACCGTGTAGTTCATAAACTCGAAGTTCACAGGACATGCTGTTTCATAGAAAGAGAAAAACCATATCACTTGGAAGAAAAACCAAACAATTCTTATCTGAAAAAACGGTTGAATTCACATGAAGCAAATAACTGCTACAAAAATCCACACGGAAAAAGTTTCGGAGATCAATAGCAACATTTGTAGAGGGCAGAGGATCATCATTAAGTCACATGAACAAGCAGAAAACACAGAGAATGCCAAGAACTCACATTTTCCTCCCAGAATTCATAACTAGGAATCAAGAATCAAGATTGTAGCTTTTACCAAAAAAAAAAAAAGAATCAAGATTGTAGTCAAATATTTTGTAACTAGACATCTACATATGGATAATGGATCCGTCTATAATTAGAAGCTCTTACTAAGATATTCATACTAAAAAGAGAAATCAATTACTGGAATCATTTAAAAGAATAAAAAAGAAGTAAAGTTGAGAGATTTAAAAGAACTTGCTTTTCTTGGTCTGAAGCAGGTTTCTTCCAAGACCCAAAGTCTGAGATTCGAACACACCATCTGCAATAAGAAAACGAGAAAATTGATGATGACCCATCTAACCAAACCAAACAATTTGTTCGAGAATAAGAAGAAGAAAGTGTGTTTGTGTACCTGAAATGAAACTTGAAGATGAGAAAGAAGAAAGAATTGAGAGTAGAAGAAAGAAGAAAAGAGCTCTAGAGAGGAGCTCCATGGTTCTTTTTTGGTTACAGGAGAAGTCACGAAGAGATCTGATTTCAAGAAGACGACTTTGAAGACTAGCTATGGCAAACCACGAAGATGAGAGAGAGAAAGAGAGATAATATTTATAAAAAATAAAAAGATGACAATTACATATTAAACATTTTGGATTACAGCTTTAGAATAACGCGGAAACATGCGAGCCTGTCTTCAACGCCGCCCCTTCCCAAAATGATGTCGTTTTTAAAGTCTTCAGTCTTCACTGCAGTGAATATTTTTTTGTTACTAAAAAAAAAAACTAATGTAATGTTTTGTTACTCTTAACGATAAACCAATTTCTTATGCAAATAATTCGGTGAGGAGTGTACAACAATAAATGACTTGTGAGTTGTGACTTTCTTTTTTTGGCTGCACATAAAATGAAGCAAGTAATCACCGGTTAAGAAAAAATACAAACCAAAAAAAAAAAATATGATAAGAGTTTCTATATCTTTGCAAGGTTTACGGGAATTGCCATAATTATAAATAGATAAGATAACGTGTTTTTAAGCGATTATTAACGTAATCGCCTAATTAGACCGATGGCGAAGTATGAACAATTCGAAGCCGTGTGTTTTTCTATATTAATATATTATGATTGTTACATCGATCATTTCAGGAATACATTGTTAACAAATTGTATGTAAACAAGTAGCTAACCATAATGTATAGTAGATTCCAACTTTATTTCATGATTATGTAAACTTTTGGTACTTGTAAATTGAAAGAGTTTCAACTTTCAAACATATACCGTGATAGTAGTTGTTCCTCACTCGGAAATTTTATATAATTTTTACAAGGCATAGACCAAGATAAAACCAAAGGTCTGCGTATAGAATTTCTTTTTCTCTCCGTTAACTTTTATGACCAAAAGCTTCAGATACAGCATCGTTTTCTTCGCTGCCAATATAGAAAAAATCACAGAGACTCAATTTAAATTTATGTATATACAAATATGACCGAACGAATAATCCAACTTTAATCATAGTATATACTTATAGAGTGAGTGGGCTTACTTCTTGGTAATGAGATTCAAGCTGTTCTGTGATCTGAAGTTGTTTTGTTAATGTTATATGTAACACCTGAAAACACACACAAATATGAGATACATTATATGATAAAAGCATTTAACAAGCTTAATAATGATATAAGCTCAAGATCGAGAGAGTTACGTACTGATTTGGTTTTGTCGAGATCGAGTTCTAGAGACTTGATCCTCTCGAGAGATTCCGTTAATAGCTTCTCATTTGCTTCTGGGATTTTTACTGGTTTTCTACAAATTTCTGTGAATTCTTTCTCCATCTTCTTAAGACGTTCTAAACACTCAAGAACCTGGTTGTTTAACGACGATTCTGGGACAACGACATGGTTTCGTCTTTGCCAGTATCCAGGCAATAGGAAACCAAAGAGAGAAAATAGCTTCAGCGGAAAAACTAATAGTATTTTCACCAAGTGAAAGATGTTCTCGCCGTTGATTTTCTCTCTAAGAGCACCAAACCGTAAAATATGACCACCTGAAATGTTGAATATACAGTAGCAATTAGAATCCATGTGGAACAGAACATTAAAAAAACTATGTAACAAGGCATGAAGAAAAGAAACACCAGTACCTTCTCTTATGGATGTATTTGCAAAAGAGTTTTCGGTGTCCGCGTTAAGTAAATGGGATTGAGCCGGTTCTATAGATTCCACGGTAGTAATGATTTTATCACCGTCTGATGTACTAGCCTGCACTAAGAGGCTTAGTCAAAAACCAATCTAAATAAAATGTTTTGAGAAACAAACAGGGTCAAAAAGAAATGTCGAATAGCACCTTATCGGAAAGTGGAGGAACTATACAAGTGTACATTGAAGATCTTGACCCAGTGGAAGAGTAATATTCTTCAGATTCTGGCTCTTCTTTAAAAGTTTTGTTACACCTTTCCTGACAAGAATTAACGTCACAACATTGTATGTAACATAAAAATAAAACCTCTTAAATTAATAGAGCATTGAGCTCACTTTTCGCGGGATCATGTGAGTGGAAGAATCATAATCTCTTATATGAAGAGGAGCTGTTGTGATTTGCGGTACGAGATTAACTTCCATGTGATGTACGAGCTGCAAAACAAAGACACTGATAATATTAGTACAACTTATAATCACACCTCATGGATTCCTAAATCTTATAAACAAAAACAAAAAGGGACATGCCTCAATTATTTCAGGATCATTCCATGGTCCTTTGTTTGACCTTAAGCACCCTCCCTCGTTAGGACATTTGCATAAGCCTCCCAAGAACTCTGGAAGTTGACTGTACAGAGAGAAAAAGAAAAGCACTAAACAATAATGTTCTAAAGCCGTAATCAAAACTTGAATGGTTATCAATAAAAACTTGAGATGGCCTATAACAATCAACCTTGAATCAATTGCTTCAAGTAACTTTGACAAGGACCTTGGCTCCAAAACCTAAGTAAATACAAGTAAATAAGCGGCTGCTGAAAGCAAATAGGAGAATATATGCTTAAAACCAGAGCGATAATCATTACTTGTATCTTTGCAATAGTCATCGGATCAACAAGCTTCTGTGCGGCAGGCCAAAGAAAATTCCTGAATCCGATCCCTGCATTGACAATGAACATTCGGTGCAAAGTCTGCAAGAGTCAGAGACCATGATTACAAACTTTTAGAGCAACCGAAATATCCATGTCCACTCGGCTCATTGGATTCATGACAAAATATTATCCCCTTTTATACTTGGAGTAGAGCTTCTACTACAAAAAGTGTATTCTTAAAAGAGTTAAGTACCTCAGGGTAATAATTGCAATCCACTTTAGCAATGGTGGCCAGGAGATTAGCAGCTGTAGGAGTAAAGTTCTTCATACCCTAAACAACCACAAGAGCGACGTTATCATTCAAGAAAACACAAGTGGTTCCTTTAAAGAATCTACAGGAATTTACCATACCAAGCCTTCAACATCTAGTATCGTAGTTGTTGTAGTGACTCGTCGCTTAGCTGCAACTGAACACGCAGGGAGCTTCTCTTGAAGTGTCCTCTCAAATTCTTGTACATGGTACTTCAAATATCGCTCTATGGTAGTTACCTCCATAAGCTTACCAGGATGAGCTCTTCCAAGTCTCTCGATATAAATAGGTCTCCCATCTTTATCAACTCCATGATACCCTTGAGGATAGTGCCGTGTGACTTGGTCCAACTCTTTGAAATTGAAATCCTATTTCATCGATTTGTAAAATGTTGTTAGGTCCTACTACTTATTGGTAACTCAAAGTGATAAAACCACAGCTGATACCATATCTCGTACCTGTATAATGCGATCGGTTCCAAATTCTTTCCTCCATTTGAGCATTTCTTCCCATGCAGTGACAGTTTTCTCGATTTTAAATTCCATTGTTTTCAGAAACCTACATAGATAGATACACAAATAAAAAAGTGCTCATTTCATACCAATTCCGAATCAAAATTCGGAACTTTTACCTCAACAACATATGATAATCATCATGCATTGGAGGCAACAAATCTTTCTTAAGAAGTTCTTGACGCAATTTGGAAACAATCTTCTCATCTTTCTCATCCCTAACATCTTCAATCAAAGGAAGCTCGATTTTACGTTTGCCTTTTCTCTTCAAAGGATGTGTAAGTTTACTTGAACAAGTAATAGCCTTCTTCTTCAAATTCCCAATTCTAGAACGCCGTGGCTCTTCTTCTATGCACTCAGAATCTGATAGTTTCTCTCCTGTTAGTTCACGACCTGCAATATATAATTCCATATACATCAAAATGAAACTAAGTTCAACCATTTCACTCTGATGGATTTTATTACCTGACATCTTTAGAATCGGTTACAACGGAACAACACTCTTCCTGAATTTGCAAAACTTAAAATCTGCCAAACGCAACAAAATTCCTCCAAAAAGAGCAAAAGCAATGCAGAGGAAAATCGAAAAAACCATAACGAATCATTAAAGTGTTATGCAAGGTTGATTCCATATCTAAAAATAGTAAGAAAAAGTTGTAACAGAGAGAAAAAGCCAAGGAGATTAAGGTGGCGACAGTTATACCTCTTTCTATATACAGAGATCTGTAGAGATAGAGAGAGAGAATCAAAGATAGAATCTACAATTTATCTGATCTCTAGAGATTTGAATTTTGAGAAAATCGGAGGATTTTGGTGCACTTTGTTCTCTGTGTATTTGGGGACTTTGTTTTTCTCTTAACACCATGAAATGGCCGACATGTCTCATTCGCAGTTTTTAACTCCTTCCTTCCACACCTTTGTTTTTTATATGATTAAACCGATGCGACGTCGTATTTGGATCAGTTGAATTTATTCGACGTCGTTTTGGGATCAATTTGGTAATAATTGCTGCTAGCACACGTTTTCTTCTGCGGTTTTTGGCATCGCGTGTATTCGTGTATTTCGCATTAACTCTTGTTACCTCATGCGTTTCTTAAAATGTCATTTATTGATCTACCAAACTTAAACCGAATTCAACATTTTGATTCAAATTTTAAACTTACAATTCTTTCAAAAAATAGGCTCGAATTAGCTGTGAATAAGACCTATTTTAACAGTTTTTTATTTCATATATAAAGATCATTGTTTCTGATGCACAGCAGACCTCACCGAACCCAAACGCGTTTTAATGGTGAAGTCATACCGTCATTTTACGATTGAATACATTATGTATCTTTGTCAGATACACATATGAGAAAAGACTAAATAAACTAGCTAAATTTGTAAATATATACTTTAATAAACCAATCAAATCACTTGTTCCAAAATCATTTTGAATTTTTCAAGTATAAAAGAAAGAGAAAACCGTACAAATGGAACAAGTCATATTCATGTTTATTATTCTACTCTTCAAGACTTTTCTTTATAGTTACCAATAGGAATCTAACACCGTATAAACCTGTCAAGATCATCAAAATGTGTTGGTCCAACTCCAATCTAATTTCACAATCACTATTATGCGCACATGTTTTATTTATTATCTGCAAACTTATATGCTGTATTCTTCAACACTACTTGCAAGGGACTTATAATGACAGCAGATTATTGGCTTAAAGCATTGCAAGATCTCAATGTTTCAAATAAGGCATAATAAAGCTCATGTACACACCCAACACACGGCTTCAAGATATAAAAAAAAAACTAATAGGCAAAAGTAGCCAAAAGAAAAATCCAAACTCAGTTTTTTTTTCTTATTTCTTCTGTTTAATGCGCAATGTACTGGTGAGGGTATTATTGCTAGTTATCATCCCATTGCATACTTCTGGGTCCAGGATTGAGCTATGGACTCGTACTTGACTCGGTCTGTCTTGTAGATGTGAGCTATTTCAGGAACCAAAGGATCATCAGGGTTTGGATCCGTCAGCAATGAGCATATCGACAGAAGAACCTGTGGAAAATGAACACCAACTTTAGTTCTTTAGCTTATATGCAAATAAAAGAGAGTATCTTCAAGCAACTCGCTAATGACCCTATTTAATATAAAGTGGAAATCCAGATCAATATTGATAATAAAGGCCTTAACCATCTTCAAGCAACTTGCTAATTAATGACCCTATTTAATAATATAAATGGACATCCAGATATCATGTCATCAATATTAATAACGAAGGCCCTAAACATTATAACATAAGGTAACACTCCTATTATAAGAGATCACTAGAATTTGACTAACACCATAGTACAGCATTTAGACAAGGATACAAATAACAGAGCTCAATCTTTTATGATAATGGCCTTGACTATACCCAAGGGATTGGGATGTTGATTGTTCATAAAACCAATGGAAAGAGAGATTGGTCAAAGCAGATTATCACACCAGAGAGAATGAACTAAGACATGAGCACAAGGTGTGGTGGAAAACAGACTAATTATATGCCAAAAATTATAGAAGTGAAACAATTTTATTACCTTGGATACGGTTAGTGCAGGGCTCCACTGCTCTTTCAGAATGTCAAGACAGATACTTCCATTACTGTTGATGTTTGGGTGATAAACCTTGGTGCGGAAGGAAACCTGCATCATAAACAATTAAGGTCGATTGTCACAAAAAGCCTCTACTTGATTGAACACTCTCTCTAAATCATAATGGTGGATGATAAACCAATTCAGTAAGCTCCAGAAATAAACATAACAAGCAACACAAAGCTTTTATTTTGTTACCTTTGGTGGCTTGAAGGGGTAATCTGGTGGGAAGTGAATGGTAACAAGAAACACACCTCCGGCAAACGGGCTATCTGTTGGACCCATGATAGTTGCTTGCCACTGGAACATATCATCTCCCATAGGACCTAATAACATCACAGTTCATTAAAATCCAAAAAGTAACTTAAGAAAAAAAAACCATTCTCCTAAAACTGATTCCGAGGTTAATGCTACATCAGCTACTGAATCTATCAAAGTGGTGCTTTAAAATTCACAGAAGACAGTTCATAGATTAAAACACTCACCGGCACTGCATGACACAGGAGGATCTCTTTGCAAGTCCCTAAGCTCCTTGTTAATTCTTTTCGACGCCATTGTATAGTCCTAGCTGCTGCTACAAGTAGAGATGCAGAGCACAAGCAGTACACAGCAAAAATCAGTACACATATGGAGCAAGAACATAGCGATCCTAAAAGAAGAGACTTTATGCAAATCAGCTTTTGTTATTAAAAGGATTATAACAAATAAGAAGACCCGTTACAAGTTTGATAATTATGCAATCATACACTTGCTAAAGAAATCAACATGAAAAATCTGCAAATCAAACAAATCAATCCAAGAGACAAGCCGATCAGAATTCGATCAAACAGAGACAAATCAACGAACGATTCAGAAACAGATCAAGCAATTACGTATCAGTTAAAGGTAAATCATCACAAGATGGTACGAGAATATTCTAGAAACACGAGATAGAACAAACGCATGGATCGACGCAAGGAAACAAAACCGCGAGAGAGAGAATCACAGGGAAAGAAACGACGAAGATCAAGAACTGGGAAACGAATAAACCCTAAGAGAAACGATGATCCAAATCGAATTCGAGATTTTGTGGAGCTAATTTTTGACCTACCTTTTTGGTTCTAGGGTTTTGGATTTGATCTTCGGAAATCTCAAGGGGTTGTTGTTTTGAAGATGAAACTTTTAGCATCGATACCGGTTTATATAGATTCCTCTCTTTCGAGCGGTGAAGCTTTGCCACGTAGCGAGCTAGATTCTGTACTATGGGCCTTAGTAAGGCCCAATAGTTTACTGCTGGAGCCCTTTGACTCTTTTACACCGATTGGGGAGGTTCTTTGGTCCATATTAAGAAACGCAAAATTGGAAAAATGATTAAACAAGAAATTTCAAGAAAGAAACAGGAAATAAAAGTAGAAAATGATATTTATTTGATTATTTCATATTGCAAAGATTTGGTACCTTAACGGGGAAAACTATCACAAGGAATTCGATATATTCTTCCTTTTGTTCTAAATAAACTTTCTTATATGCAAATAAATAATATACAGTATACATTACATATAATATGAATCATGAATGTGCGTTTGCATGTGAATATAGTCGTGTTTTTTGAATAGTAGACTATGTAAGATGTTACTGATTACCAAATTGGATAGAATTTTGTATATAGCCATTTTTGAATAGTTTTTTTTTTTGGTTAACAGTGAAGGAAGCTACCTTGCATCACAAGAAACTAGGTTATGAGGGTTCATAAGCTTCCAGTATTTTTGCAGTCACAGGCCGTTAAACCAAACGACTAAACCAAATGACATATTGGTATACTAAACCGATCTGTTTAAACCCTTTGCCGACGAATTAACCGACTAATCGAGTCATCTGTCAATGTTGAAAACAGAGTTGACTTGTAACACGAAATGTCGATTTTCAGTAATAAACATGTGAAAAACACTCAAGAACATAACATTTGCTTTACACAATTCCACACATTATATTGAAACAAGCTTTACTTTGACGTTTAAGTATCCAAAAACATATTATGATTATTATCATTACCAATACCAGACACAAACCATCGTCATGATTTAATGTTTTCTTTTTGCTAAAATAATAAACAAAAAAAGAGCTTATAAAAGAAAACTGTTGGAACCCAACTTTCCAGACAGAGAAACATAAAACAAACCCAAAGTCTCGGAGAGAGACAGAGACTCATCAGCTCTTTATTTCCTTGAAATTTTTGTCATCTGATCTCTCTCCGGGACAATGATAAATAGACAGACAAACACATTTCATAAATCATATATACAACCATTCTATCCCAAGGACAAGAGACAGTACCGTGTCGTCAAGAGTGGTATGACCTTTTTGTGTCGAATTTTGGATCGGTTTCATATTGCTTTATGATCACAGCCAAAATGTTCGATGATTTTTACCCTTCTCTTGTTTTGGCTCTCTTCATACCAAGGCTATTGTAAGGAGAGACAGAACCAGACATTGGAGATCCTTCTTCACGAAGAGTTCCATTGAGCAATGCTAGCTCGCGCAGCTGTTGTTTCTTGTACAAATCATGGGTTTCCTCCTATAAAACAGAAACCGAGTGTGAAAACTTTATAAATCCTATTAGTAACTGGTTTAAAATCAAAGGGGGAAAGAGCTAAAAACAAACCATAGGAGTAAGAAGATCGTCAAGTATTTCGCGAGCTTGCATGAGACGTGCATCGACTATTTCAATCGGTAATTCTGCTTCAACTAAGATATGAAGTGGTTCATTTAGGTGCTCGTATCCTGGTTTTCCTCTCATCATTTCCTCCTACAAGAAGAAATATGTTAACACGTTGAACAAACATTGGAATGTGGATACAAATGAAGTTGTGAAGTTAAATAATAAAATACCTTAATTGGATCTTTTATACTGCCTCTTCCTCTTATAAGAACACGGCAATCAGTACTTGCTTCAACTCGCTTCAGGGAGTTTCCCCTAGGACCCAGGAGGCGACCAACAAAATTGAACTGCCATTTAGAAAATTAAGAGTTATATTCCGACCAGAAAGTAGTATATATATACACATACATATATCTAGAGTAGAAATGAAAGTTCATACATTCGGATAATTGTCGACTGGAATATCAACCCTGATTGTACGCTTGGCGATGAGACCGGACGAACTACCAGGTGAGTTAAGCCAATTTGGTCCCGGAGATGATGGAACAGATCTCTGCAAATGATCGGCCAACAAAATTAGAAGCAAGATCAACCTTGAAGCATAAGCACATGAATATTGAAACTTCTTTCCCTGGAACTTCATTCTATGGAAGTGGGCACTGTATCAAGGCATTTCAACCTGTAGCTGCTATATCCTAATAATATGCATACAGTGACCACATATATATGAGAAAATTAGCATTATTTCAATCCTACTCGTGAGGATAGTGGAGTATCTAATTAGTGTTGATCTAAGGTAAAACCATACAAACATTATGGATATTAAGTGTTAGCCCAGGCTACCTGTCATGATAAACTACGACTAAAAGCAGTGAAGTATGTTATGTCAGCATAACTTAAGTCAATAAAACTTTTATTGCAGTAGTATGAATTAGAGAGTTATGTTAATGGTTAGTAGTCATACTTCTGATGGAAACTGCGAGGCCCATCCGTTCAGGTCAGCTCTTGCATTCTGAAATATCCCTCCTGAAGCCAGAGGGCTAGGGTGGTCAAGCCCACTCTGACTTAAAACTGTAGCATTCTCCAACAGTGTGGTTACACGCAAAATTTCTGTTCCAAAAATGTCAATTTCCAAGAGTAAGACGCACCAGTTAGAATCAGTCAACAAATCAGTCACTAGGCCACCAATGAATGGAGAGACAGCATAGTTAATTGAGTTAGCAAAGAATAGTTATTTTTGCTCTCACTCTAATTATACAGAATGACAGAAGTCAGTATAAGAAGAATATCGAATTAGTCATTTCGTGTTCTAGTTCTAACTTGTATTTTAAAGAGGGAAGGAAGATAATAAGATTAGACGGACCTACTTGGGGATTAATCAATCACTTTGTTATATTAATCCTAATAGCTAACAATTAGGTCTCTCTTAGCAGCACTGTGTTTAATATCAACTGTATGAGAGCTTCATGAATCTGAAGCAAGCAAATGAAGTATTCTGTATTCTGTGAGATGAAAACACAAATAATAAACAGCAATGCTCACCTTGGTTTAGTAGCCGATATGCGTGTGGTAGCACAGGCAGGAATGGAGTAAGCTTATGACGCTCTGCAAGTAACTCTGAAAGATACCTGCCAAACAGAAATTGTGCAGCATATCCAAATTAGTAAACCCTCAAAAGACACATCAAACTTAACAAGCAGATTCACTCATCATGGTTAAGAGACTCAAATCCATTAAAACAGATTCAAATTTCCATTCTTTTAGTGAAGTGGATCTAGTCAATCTTCCAAAAATTGTAACTTTAACAGTTTCATCAGTCAAGAACACAAATCAATAATAACAGAAACGAACATAACCAATGAAATGATCCTCAAAACACTAAAAACTGATGCTTTGCAAGAAGTGAACTGGATTGAGATTCAATCAAATGCATCGGAATCGAAACATAGATCCTAATATATAAACAGAAAAATTCAGATTCGCGATATACTATTAAGATCTAAAAATCAAAATCGTCAAAACAAAGATCAACATACTTCATCAGATACATCAGCTAATTATAAGATCACCAAACAATAAAGAAACAAAAATATAAAAAACTGAGATTCAATTACTTCTCTTGCTCAACGAAGACAGAAGACTGTGATCGGAGACCACCAGAGTAATTAGGAGACTGAGGAGCAGAAGGAGGAACCGAAAGAGACGACGAATACGTCATAAACCTCCCTCCGCCGCCACCACCAACTCCACTTCCTCCTCCTCCACCACCACCACCAAGCGACGACATCATCATCATCTCGAAGAAAATCTTCACAAGGAATCAGAGCAAATCCGTCGGAGATTAGAAGAAGAAGAAGAAGCGGCGGAGTCAGAACCAAAGCTCTATAACGTCGGTGGATTTAAGAGGTCATTTTTATAGAGACTGTGGAAATGATTACTTGTTTGTTTGCTTAGCTGTTTTTTTTTTTTCACTTTTTTCTTTTTTTCATATTTTACGCACTTACCCAATTTTACCGCTCTTCTTGTTAGTTTCTTTCAGAAGCCTCTCAATCATCTAGAAGGTTTTTTACCGGGTCGGTTTACGAAAATTCGATTCGGTTTATCTATACCGGAAAATTAAACGCTGCGTTTTCGAAAGCGAAGCTCTGATATTCAGTGAGACGCGAAGGAAGGTTGAAGAAGAAAGAGTTTGAGGATAAAAATGGAGGAGACGACGATTCCTTTCAAGAGCTTACATAGCAGAGAGTATCAAGGTCACAAGAAGAAGGTTTTTTCGATCTTTTTCTAAGTTTCATCTAATTTCTGTTGTCAATAAAGAATACGAAACCCTAGCTTTTTTGCTGAATTTGGGGGAATTTTTTGGATTGAAGGTACATTCTGTGGCTTGGAATTCTAATGGAACAAAGCTTGCTTCGGGTTCTGTTGATCAAACGGCTCGCATTTGGAACATTGAACCTCACGGTCATGTAATTTCTTTACCTTTAAGCTATGGGAACTTTTGGTAATTCTTATTAGTATAGTTTTCATGGAGTTTTTTTTTAATGTTGATTGAGTTTAAAATCGATTTTTATCTTTGTCATGGTTACTTTTGAGTTATGTAGTCTTTGTAATTTGGTTGTCTATGTGGTGTGTGGATACAGAGTAAGGCTAAGGACCTTGAACTAAAGGGACATACTGATAGTGTGGATCAGCTATGTTGGGACCCCAAACATTCAGATCTTGTTGCTACTGCCTCTGGTGATAAAAGCGTTCGTCTCTGGGATGCTCGCAGTAAGTTATATTCTCTTAATAGGATTAGCTTTGTCTTTGAAAAATTTAATAGCCTGGAGCTTGGTTTAATAATGTCATTCACAAATATTTCTCACAATCTTGGCTTTTGCTCTTGACTTATATCCCGTAAACTATTGATTGATGACAATATGATTAAGTTTCTAAGAATTAGATACTAGTTATTTAGCCAGACAATATCAACAGGTTCTTGATATGTGGCTACTGTTGTGTGTTTTACTGTCAATAGAAAATTGCTGAGATATGTCTTCTTCGAGTTATACAGGTGGAAAATGCACACAGCAGGCCGAACTTAGTGGAGAGAATATTAACATCACCTACAAACCTGATGGGACACATGTAGCTGTTGGTAATAGGGTATTGTCTCGATCCCCATGTCTTTTTACTGGCATTGTTCCTACCTGGACTGTTTATGCATTACTTGATAGATCCCTTTTATCTGTGGTTGTTCTTTCTCTTACTGGCCAATGTAGGATGATGAGCTTACCATTCTGGATGTCCGTAAGTTTAAACCTCTACACAGGCGCAAATTCAATTATGAGGTAACGTAAGCTCAGACTCATGTTAATATTTATTAGTGGCTTTCTTTTGATAAGGTTCTTCCCTGTCTCCTATTTGAAGCTCATGCGGTTATATTTTACCTAAGTTCCTTGTTTAATGTAATAATGGCCTTTGTTGTTAAAGTTAGTAATTTTCTGGTGCCGTATGGAATATTTTTTTTTCTTTCTTCTTCTTGTAACAGGTTAATGAGATTGCTTGGAACATGCCAGGAGATTTTTTCTTCTTGACTACTGGACTTGGTGAGGAATTTAAATTCTGTACTTTCCTGCTCATGATTCCCTAGCTCAGGTTTCTTTGTTTTTGAACTTGAGAAAATGATCTTATTGGAAAGTTACTTATGTACGTTCCTCTGCTCAGGCACTGTTGAAGTTCTTTCATATCCATCTCTTAAACCACTTGACACTCTCACAGCCCACACAGCCGGGTGTTATTGTATTGCAATTGATCCTAAAGGGAGGTAATAAATATTTACATGCATTTTCTTTGCCATCTGAGACACAAATGAATATAATTTTTCCGGTTGCATCCAATTCCTTCCTCCTCTTTCCGTTAACAGATATTTTGCTGTCGGGAGTGCGGATTCCTTAGTCAGCCTTTGGGATATCTCAGACATGCTTTGTTTGAGAACATTTACCAAACTTGAGTGAGTCCCTACCTGAAACTTATATATAGCAGAAAAAGGTTTAATTTCTGTTGCATGTTAGTAAATTAACTATTTCTCACAGGTGGCCCGTCAGAACAATAAGCTTCAACTACTCAGGAGAGTATATTGCTTCAGCCAGTGAGGATTTATTTATAGATATTGTAAGTAATTGCCTAGACTTAAACACTGCTAATTACTATATACTTTCCTCAATGTGAGATTGGTTGCCTCGTATCTGACCGCTAACTACTAAACAGGCTAATGTCCAAACCGGGCGGACGGTGCATCAGATTCCATGTCGGGCTGCCATGAACAGCGTTGAGTGGAATCCCAAATACAATTTACTTGCATATGCAGGTGATGACAAGAATCCCAAGTATAATACTGATGAAGGTACTACTGCGTATTGATACTTCATTGTTAGCAACAACACAAAACTCTTAAAATTTGTAGCAAAAAAATGAACAATGACAACAACTTGGATCTCTTTGCAGGTGTTTTCCGGATATTTGGTTTTGAGAGCTCGTAGGAACAAAACACTGCATCGGGAAACATGATACACAACTCCGCTTGATCCGTGTTGAGTTAGAAAAAGTTTATGTGCCATGTGTGCTACTAAATTTGTATTGTCAGTATCAAGTTGGAATCTTACAGTATCACTAAATACATTGAAAGTTTGCAGTTCTGATTTTATATGAATCTGGCATTTTATTATTCACTGCAAAAATGGGTATTTACTATACAAGATGTGTTCTTTATTATAAACGAATAATGAAATTAAATAATATCAAGATCAGAATTCTGATTCTGAGTTACATCAATTCTCTACTATGTGTAAGCGTTACTGCTAAAAGTTACAGGTTGTTCTTAGGCCCTCCGGGGATTCTTCAGTCTGGGAGATTTGACAGCTACTCTCTCAAAGCTAGAACAGAGGCCAATGATCGGACCAAAAGCTTCATCCCCACAATGGAGGCTGAAGAAAGAATGCAGAGTCCTGACAAATAAAACACATTTATCACTGAGAGTCCAGATTTGGATTTAAAGAACAAGAGCACAACAATTTGCTTACCGAACAAACAATGAATAGCAAGAGTTTGTCAAAATCCGCAGAGGATGAACTTTGAGACCGGGAAGAACAACCCTGCAAAGCAAAGAAGAACAATGGTGATCAAATACTGAGAGAACCAAGTAACAGGTTTCCATTTGATCTCAACGCTTGAACTCTTCATCCTCTTCCCACTCATCGGCTCTTTCGACAAATCAAAGCTCGACCCTTTCATCCTCAACTCCAAAACACACCGTGTAAGCGTTCTGTTATCATTCCTCTCCCTATGAACTCCTCTATAAACTTTCCAGAACACAAACAGCTTAACCTGAACCAGAAACACCAGAACCAATGAAGTAGCTAGTGACACTGCAGAAGGTATCCACCATTTCTTGCAAACCGCATTGCTTTTCACTACATCATCGTCATCAGAACAAGAAGAAGAGTAGACAAGTGTGAAGAAAAACCCGTGGAAGACGAGGAAGAAACAGCAAAGCTGAAAGATCTCTCTTTTGATTGACTCTAGCCTTGATTCTTTAAGAAGGACACGACGACAGAACAAATTTTCTTCTCTTTGCCATAGCTTCAAAAGCAACAAATGTCCTGGACTCTCTGAGATTTCAGACAACGGATGTTGCTGAATCACTTTGAGTATTCCCATTCCCGGATTCGAGACCGCAACCAACTGTTGTTGTCTCTCTTTATGCTCTTCATCTACCGGAATCTCCACTACATGAGAATCTTTAGTTACAGCCATAGAGAAATAAAAGATTGAGACTTTATGAAGAAACAGAGATCGGAAATGGAAAGCAATTAGAGAGTAAGATGAAGATTGAGAATTGAATAAAATTTCAGAGAGAAGACTTGAATTTCGTTGTTTTTTTTTAGTAAGATTTCCTTTTTTCTTCACAAGATTTCAGGTATTTAAATTGTTGTTCCTTAACGGCTATATGTACAACGGTCGGATTGTTTTCTTTTTACGTTATGTTGTTACTGCTGCGATAATATAGTAAGCGACCTTTTCTCACTTTAACGGCTATATTTTCTATTCCAAAACGTATAAGGCCAATATTTGGGCCTATAATGAGCCGAATGATTTGCAATGTGCTTTATAGTTTTAAGTAGGCCCAAAATTGATCATCTAGTTCTAGCTTTGCTCGATGATTCCATTGTTTGTTTTTTTGTTTTTTTTTTGGTAAGAATTCCATTGTTTGTTTTTGTTCCACCACAATTTATAACGAGTTATACATTTATGAGTTTATAAATTTTCTGTTTTTTTTTTATTAATAAAATAACAACATTCTGTTTTTTTTTTTTCTAATTTCTTTCAAAACACATGCAAGTTATTCGAATGACATATTTTAAGATGAAAATAATAAAAGCTCTTTATTTACATTTCTTCATTATTAAATGCTTTACAATGCAAAACTTATTAATCTCTGAAAACAGAAAGCACCTAATTAATCATAAGTCATAACCAAATGTTTAACTACCAAATGTGATCCAATATGAAAACCCAAACAATGAAATCTTAAAGAAAAAAAACAAACTTTAAACCGAATAAAAATCAAACCATATGATTGATGAGATCATCAGCTTGTAAATCCCACAAGACATTATCCACATTAAACACATGTTGTTGTTGTTGATGATGATGGTTCCTCATCATCATCATCATTCCATCTCCTCTTCCTCCTTCAGATCCAATCTCCTCTTGATCAACCACTTCTCCCTTCAGCTTCCTCCTCTCCTCTTCCTCCGCCGCCGCGGTTTCAGCCACCGCCGTACGTATCCCTCCGTGACCTCTCCAAGCTGCAACGGCAGGAGACGCCGATCCATCATTCCTTTCTTCATTTCCAAACGACGACGAAGAGGATCCATACGAGAATCCATTACCCATGTCCCATAACTTCATTATCCCATTCCCATGGTCCAAACCATCCATCTTTATCTTACCAGCTTCATTATCAGAAATCTGGTTAAAGTTGTTTGGGTTAGGGTTAGGGATATGGTTTGAGAAGTTGATTTGGTTTAGGTCAACACGTTTCTTGGTAAGCAAGTGAAGCATCTCGTCCTTGAAACAGCCGAGAGCAGCTTCGGCGAGGTGAGAAACCTGAGGAGGATTAAGTGTAGTGGTGATCTCTGCCATTAGATGCGAGAAAGGCTTGTGGGTCACTGGATCTATTCCCATTCCAGACAACTTCTTCTTCAGCTTCGTGTTCCAATAGTTTTTCACATCGTTGTCCGTTCGACCAGGAAGTTGCGCCGCAATCAGCGACCACCTGAACCATGTCAAAAGATTATTAGAAAGGTTTATTTGTATACCTTATTCGTTTTATTGTTTCCCAAGAAAGATGTTAACTGTTGTTTCTCATGAAAAAGTCCCAAACTATTCATCGACAATTCATCATCAAATTTTCAAATTCTGTTTGTGAGTCTAATTGGTGATTGTATATAGCAAAACAAATTTATTTTAAGAAAACCCTATACTTAGATTTGGTATAGAAAACAAAACTTATGTCTTATTCAGTTTCTTGCTTCCCAAGAAACTTGTCCACAAACTAAGAAAAAGTATTCATCAGTAAGTCAGCATCAAGATTTCAAAAACTTATGAAACAAACCCGCTATTTATGAGTCCGTCTGTAATTTATACATCTAGAATAAATCATTTCAAATCGTTAAACAGTAGTTAATTAGATCTAGTGATGATGCATACCGGTTACCAAGAACAGAGTGAAACTTGACAATGATATGTTCTTCAGTCTCCGAGAACTGGCCGTGTTTCAAATCCGGACGCAAATAGTTCGTCCATCGCAGCCTACAACTCTTCCCGCATCTTTGCAACCCTATTAGAATCCAATTTTTACCGATCCATTATATTAGATCACATACAAGAACATTATTACTTGATTAAAGAAAACTTTAAAAGACAAAAAATTACCAGCGTTCTTAGGGATGAGACGCCAATTACGAGTACCATGTTGAGCAATATAAGAAGCCAATTTGTTGTCTTCTTCAGGAGTCCATTGTCCTCTCTTCACATTCTCCTTTTCACAACATGGAATCCGACCCATTTCTTCTTTCTTTCTAGTTTTTATCTCTCGATCGATTTGATTACTCTTTAGTTAATTTACCAACAAGAAAAAAGAAAATTTGGTTAAGAAATGAAAAAAGCTTATATATCAAAGATTGCCCAAAAGAATTAAAACTGCCAAACTTTTGATTTCTTTACTTTCTTGTAATCAAGGCTTTTAAATTGCAAAAGAAGAAAGGAAATGAATGCATATATATAATAAAATTGATTTAACAAAAATGAAAACATAGTAAAAATTAGCATCAAATGTGCATGAATTGATTAAACTCTTTAAAGAATTCAACGCTACAGAGCGTGTGATTCCCTTTGGCCGGTAGGTCACCCACTCAACGCCTGGTCAACTCCTTATACATTCATTTCATTATCAGAATATTCACCCATAAAATAATATTCTTGATATATTTACACTTTAGATTAATTATATAATTCTTCTGATATTCTCTATGCAAACTATAAATTTTAACATTTTGGTTATGATGGGTAGAAATGATTTGTATAACAAACTAGGGTTTGAATCATGAATTTAAATTGAACTCTTATTTAAATAATTGTGATCATATTGAAGTTCTGCAGGAACGGTTTTAAAAAAAGTTATGACAATTCTTTTTTCAGTTTTGTAAGGGAATGTTTTCGTGAAGTACGGAGAATATCGCGAGAGTGTTCGTGTGCATTAGTGATAGCATTCGTGAAAGCACAGAATCTTGTAGAAGTACCTTTTTCTTTTGTCTTTTGTCTTCTTTTATTCGCGTACGAACTTGTACCTTTTGTTCTAAGTCAGTGACTTGTACTTAAAGTCACTTAGATACCTACTTATGTCATCTTTAATTTTGTTGTAAACTTGTAGTGGTAATCCACGATACAAACATGAATATTGATCAAAAAGTAAAATCTGATATCAAAAATAAAATATACAATATTTATAGAATTAGATACAGTAGTACACTTTTTAATATAAAAATTCAACATACAGATAACTATTTTTAGATTTCTAATTCATATATATTTTAATCTTTTTAAATATTGGAAAACTATGTTTTCGATGATTCCCCGAGGAATATGGATTACTCTCTTTTTTCCTCTTTTGTATTTGAACTTTGAATAATCCGGATAATGTGGATTTGGATAATTCGAACATTTCAGATAGACATGAAAATTTGTGCTTTGGATAATCCATCCCCCAAAAGCTGTAATTAATTCTACCTTTTAAAATTGTTATATCAATTAAACTTAACAATCTTTTTGACCAAAAAGAAACTTACAATCTTTTTTTTTTTACATTTTTTCATCTGTTTGCTATTTATTTGTCTGGACTTAGGAAAAAAAAAAACACGACAAAAAAAATGATATGGCATTAGTAGATTTCTTTGGATAGACATTACAGGTTTATCTCTCGAAAAAACTTCTGCTTAAATTTTTGTTTTCTTATCATAACCATATCTCTGTGTTTTCTTTATTCACCATCTCCTTGAAATTCCCATGAATTTTTCCAAGTTTGAACTAGTAAGCCCGAGAAGAAGAAGAATAGCCATACTCTGATTTGTTTCGCAAGTAACGACTCCGACCATAACCTAATTCTCTCACAACCGACTCAACCATCCTCCCAGCCACTCCGGTTTCAATACCAATCTCTCGGCCACAACATACCAAAGCAGCTATTCCCATCATCCACATGGCTGCAGCTACCCCAACACCAACCATAGCCGCCACAAGAACCGCGAGCGTCACCATAAAAACTGGAGCAAATATCAGCAGCAATGGAGAAGCGATCAGAAACAGAGTCACCGTCGCCACAAAGCTGAAACTCATCAGACCTAAAAGCGGCCCGACCACTGCCACAGCTGCTACGGTTGCAGCCACAACCGAAGAACCAGTCCTCCTTTCTCCATCGGTTATGGCTATGTCTCTTCTTCTTCCTCCATGATTCTCCATAGTAGTAGTGTGAAGTTAACAGAGAATTTTGTAGCATTGGCTATATAGAAAGGAAGATGGTGGGCTACTGACACGTGGATGACGATAAGCCACCGTTTTACGACACGTGTATAGTCTTCTATACCCAAAACGCCAAAAACTCTCTTAACATTATCCACAAGACTTACGGATTTGAACCGGACTGAAATAACCGAATCGTATCTAAACCAAAACCGAACTAAAATTTAGCGTTGAACCAAATTGGTATAAGAAAATTTTGACTAAAAACTTGAATGAAACATAAACACCAACAACCACTCAAATTCTGGGATTCTTATGTTAATTGTTGTTAATTGTTTTCGTATTTATTTTTTGAATCATGACTGATAATACAACATCATTGACACAGGATTCGATTTAGTATAATAGTGAGCCAAAGAATCAATTTTTGGAAAATAATGAAAAAGGAAAGATTTTGGTGAAGAGGGCTGCTTAGCTGAAATTTGATTTAGCAACTTGTGGAAGGGATTTGAGAAGAGAAGGCGATGGCCTCCGAAGAGTGTGATTGAGAAGTAGCATCAAAGTGAGAAGTGTTAAAGCTCCTGCTTGGTGTGCGCTTCCTAGTGAGACCGGAACATAACTCAGAAGCGTTGATACACCTAATGTCACCTGCAAAAAACGAAAAAAACCCATCAATGGTTTTGATTTCAAGTTTCCTTGAAAGTTTATGTTGATTGATTTACCTGAACAGCAGTCATTCCCACAGTACTTCCGATCAAAGCTTTAACGGCTGGATGTATGTCTAGCTTCCTTGTGAACCACCACATTGTTCCAATTGCTATTAGCGTTGTGGTTGCAAGAAGGCGATGATCAAGCTGAAATTTAAGTAAAGTTTCAGTCTTTTTGAGACTCTTGACGCAAATTGAGAAAGCTTTGTGTCAATGGTGTACCTGAACAGTTGCTGTGTTCTCGAAAAAGTTGCGTAAAAGTGGTTTCATCTCAAATATATTATCTGGGATCCATGTGTCACCCATTTTTGGGAATGTGTTGAATGCACGACCCTACAATTCACAAGCGGAGAGATCAAAATACTCAGATTCCTTTCTGTAACTAATATCATAGAAGCTCAGTTTACTTACAGCATCATTTCCAGCAACAAATGCTCCTGAAATCGCAGTGATACCAACAATCAAGCTTACTGGTAATGCAAGCTTCTTCACTTTAGCGGCTCCCCGAACCCAAGCCAGTGACTCAGCTGGTGGTTCAGGCATAACAACAGAGAGAGCGGTCCAGAAAAGTCCACAATAAATGGCAAATGCTGAGGTCAGGTGAGCTGCCAGACGGTATGGGCTTACCCTCGGTTGAGAATATTCAGACGGCGGCTCCTACATACAGGACCAAACTGATTACTGGTTACACAATATTCAGCACATAACAACATCTAATAAGAGGATCTACAACAGTTCCTAATGCTTACCTCTAAACCACTTTTAACCATCCACCAACCAATGAGACCTTGTCCAGCACCAAGCGCAAATAAACCAGAGAGCTGAACTCCAAGACGTAGAGTAATATACCCTTTCCGCAGAAAATAAGAAAACGGCAAAGCAAACATGATTCCCAATCCTCTTCCCCACATTCGATGAGCATACTCCATCCAATATATGAACTTAAAATCTTCAAGATTCATCCCTTTGTTCACACTGCAAACCACCAAATCCCAAAACACAAACAGCATTTTCAAAATCAAGAGTTCGTCCAAAGACAGAAAACGCAAATGCGAGCAACATCTTTAGCTACTAAAATCGCAACACTAACCGCTTATATTCAGGAGACTGCTTATATTTCTCAAACTCCTGAGCCCAAGCTTCATCTGACAGAGGAGGGAATTCACCAGTAAATTTCCAATCAGTCATTGATAAACCAGATCGAGTTAATCGAGTTACTCCGCCTAGTACAACCATGCTGAAAACCCAAGTAGCAGAACCAAAAAGCCATATCCCAACCCATTTTCGAGCTTGAGGTCCTCCAGTGACAAGATGCTTCAAACCCTCTTTAGTCTCTGAGCTAATCGACGCTACAGTTGACATCTTCCTAAACATTGAAGCATTTTGACCCTAAACAAAAACATAATCTTGATCAAACCCCAATCTTAGAATCTAAGCAAACAGAGAAATTTCAGAATCAACTAATAGGAATCAAAAATCTCAACTTTAACATAACCCCTGATCAAAAGTATCAACCTTTGGGAAAGTACCTTGAGAAGAGATCGCAAGCCATAGAAGGAGTTTCCAGCTAGAGAAGAAGACGAAGCAGAGGTTACAGTAGCAGCTGTAATGTTAGAGGTGAAAACTCGATGAGACGAAGTGGTGAATCCTCGAGCAATTCCATTAAACGCTTCTTTGTTCCTCTTGAGAGCCGATCCCACCGCTCGAAACATCTCTATCTCTCTAGGATTTAAGCAAGGTTTCTGCGTTCAGGCGACAAAAAGAACGGCAAATCAAATCTCGTTCTTCAATTTCGACCCGACCCGGCTTTGTTCCGGGTTTGGGTTTTGCTGTGGTGGCTTTTCGGTAGACACTAAATATGTCTGGATTAAAAAACGACACGGTGTGTAGAAGGAAAACTGGAAACAACATTCATGAGAAACCAAATAAATAAATCTCAAACAGTCACAAATCAGTAGAGCATCAGAGAGTTATGGTCATGTGGGAAAATGCTTCTCTGGGATGGGACGGACACTCAGACTCCGGCGGCCAGGGTATTAACGAAACGCCGCCGTTTTATAAGTTGGGCTGAAAGATGGCACATCCTTAGGCCCCATTTTCTATAATAGGTCTCAAAACATGAGCTAATGGGCACTGATAATTTAAATAAAAAATTTCAAATATTTCTTCTACAACCTTTTTATTTTTCAATTGATTAACCAAAGAGTGTAGATATGCTTTGTATGGAAGATATTGGTTTTTTATTACGAGGAGCAGGATTGTAACTGTAGAGAAAGGTTTTTTTTTTATTGCTAATATTAGCTCGAATTGAGATTACAAAGTAAAATAAACATCATCTTTCGAATGCAGTTTCGAATGCAGGAAACTAATTAATCATACTATAGTACGGTTGATTTTGAAATCTGAAAACAAAACCGTTTCTTTCTTTCATAGGATCGTTTAACGTATGTTGAGAGCTACGTAAAATTGGCCATTCATTTCATGCAAGAGGCACTGATATAAATTAATGTATGTGTAACATCAGTTTATTGCAAAACCTATTATAGTAGTGTGTTTTAGTTTGTTTCTTAAATAAAACAGATTTTTTTCTTTTTTAAAACAGACTTATTCAGTTTTAAAAATCATATGTTTAGAATCATAACTTTGATTCGGAAATTATTGCCAGTTCAATTGATAACTTACCGTTTTCTGAACATTTTGCGATGTTACATGTCTAAAAATCACACAGTAATGTATAATTGCAATGTTTGTCCCGTCAGTGTTAGTTAGACATATAATTACATGTCTGAATTGGATGAGTGACCCCAAAGGATTGCCCAACAAAGCATGTGAGTGAATGGAATCTAATATTTTTAATTTTGATGAATGTTTAGAATTCAACAGTATATAATATAAAATTCAACTAGATCATTATTTTTCCGGCTATCCACCTACTTCACCTTTATTTCTTATATATTATAAGAAAATATGATGCATTTTCGTGGCGACTTAACAATGTTATGAGACATGCCTAAATTACCAACTCGTAATATCGTACGCACAACATTTTTATGAATGATATATACTTTTAACAATTAGAAATCGTAGTATTTTCCTTTAGATTCCATTCATGCATAACAGTGAGTTTATGTAATGACAAGCATAAGCATAAGCATACGCATACGCACACATCACTAATGGAATATTTACACTCGAGCAACGCTAAGATTTATTATGAATTTGTGAAGAAAGATCACTCTTAAATTTGTGATTTTTTGTTGCTTTCGATTTTGTCAAAAAAATATTTTTAAATGTTCATTTCCGTTATCTTATAACTATAATAGACCTCAGAATTTGTAAATGAAAACACGATAAACAAAAACGAAAAGAAAATTAATGTTTGTGTTGCATTGGCATTTACCATTTACAAAATGTGTTTAAAATAGATATGTGTAACAAAATAAGTAATAATTTTGTGTTTTCTAATTAAGTTTAATCGTAACATTTTAATGTGCGTTAAACTCTAATTATTTTGGTAAATTCATTCGACATGAATCTTTCCACATTAGACTCATAACCAAACCCAATAAATCCATAGATATCGCGATTTTTATTTGCAGAGTATAACTTGATCAACCATTAATTACTCTCATTCCTAAGAAATGTGAAAATATTTAACAACATTGTCCCTTTCACATTTTTTATAAGTTTTACATGGTATTTTTACTAATTTGAGGATAGTAATGATAAAAGGTCAATTACTAAAAATATGTGAGAACTATTTTGAAACGAGAAATATCATTCATTTTGAACAAAAACAATAATTCTAAAACATAAATTAAAATGACCTAGAGGAAATATTTGTAACCTATATGAATCGAATCAAATAAATAAAATAACAAAATTTATCCAAGAATGGACCCCACATGCGGCAATAAATAACGCCCCTTGCGAGGGTTAAGGCAAGTAGGCAACACAACAACACAAGCTTTTTTCCAAGTCTTGAAATTAAAACAAATTCTAAACTCTATATTCTCTCTTCATAGTGTCGACATGGCTTGCGAGAACAACCTCGTTGTGAAGCAAATCATCGACTTATACAATCAAATCTCAAACCTCGAGAGCTTAAAACCATCCAAGAATGTCGACACTTTGTTCGGACAACTCGTATCCACGTGCTTACCTACAGACACAAACATCGATGTCACAGAGATACACGATGAAAAAGTCAAAGACGCGAGATCTCATCTCATCAAGCTTTGTGGTGAAGCCGAAGGTTATTTAGAGCAACACTTTTCAACAATCTTAGGCTCTTTTGAAGACAACCCACT